TGTATATACAGTGCTGTGCAGTCGGGTTTGGCTTCCTTTATTACGAATCATTTTATAAACTTGGTTTCTTATTTTATGATTTTCAGCAAATATCAATTTGTATTTAAAATATAAAAATACATTATAGTACATTTAAGGAACCAATGTAGAATAATGTGCATTTTCACTGGCCACAATCTAATCTGGCTCTATCAAAATGTCTACCATGTTTCCTTCTCTGGCTAAGAACTTTTGAACCTCATCAAATGTTTGAAAATTAACTGAAATACAGTACAGTATCTGCATTGTTGCAGCATTCTGTTACTTATATAATAAAATCACATTGCTTATCTTTGTTTTAAAAATCTAGTCATAGTTATATAATCTACCATCTCAATACAAACTCTTTCTTTCATAACTTCCTTATTTAAGATTGCTTATGAATGGTGTGCTGTATATGGAACTGTTGCCTCCTCCACATCAACTATCCTGGGCATTCTTTTGAAACATACTTTAATGTACAAAATGTCTCGATAGATACTTCAATATTTTCGACAGTTGTATGGTCAATTTAACATAAGATCTTGATTGTGAAATTCTTCATAAAATGGCAGGTTTCGGTTCACTACTATGTCATCAGCCACTATAGTACCTTTTGGTTTTCTAATAAGAGGAAAAATCCCATCAGAGCTAAAATTCCAACTTGTGCAAACAATTGGAAGGTGGAGGTAAAAGGGGGCTGACATGGACTCTAGGTTAGGTGCAGCATGGGTGAGGTTGTGTCATTGTGGTGCATGAGGTGTTGTGAGGTGGGAGTGTGGTGAGGTGTGACCCAGCACTCTGATGACCTGTGGTAGGTGGTGGCGACGATGAGGAGAGTCTGCTGGAGCATCAATTGGAAGCTGCCGTAGTGGAGAGCCCTCAGGTTCTTGCTCCTCTCACCAGGTGGGTTCTCTTACATGCATTACTACTCTTTCTCTTGCCAACATCATGTTGGGACCGGCTGTCACTCATCGATTATGTATCGTACAAGACTTCTACTGCTGCTACTCTGATATTTAACTAGACCATTATCACCACACTTTGATCATCCAGGCTCAGGTGTTTCATGAGAATAGAAAAAAATGTGTATAAAAATATATAGCCGTACCATATATGCTTACAGTACTGAGAGCTGAAATGAAATGAATGCAGTAACAAGGCAATACATTTTGTCTTATATATTGTCAGTTACATCAGCTTGAATAATTTTATATTAAACATTTTAAAGTTATGCTGATCATTACAAAATATTTAGGTTCAACAGAAAACTCAGTTTAATTTAAAAAGACAAATGCAAGTTATCTTAGTGACTCTGACTAAATAATCCCAGACAGTAAGACTCCTGAAAGGAGCATGGAGAATCTCAGATGATCATTAAATGTACAAGCTCGTGCTAGAGCAGCCCCGTGTCAGGAGACTCGCACACAAAAACTCCCAGACTTGCAGACTCGCTCAGAGGGGCCATATATCTAGAGACTTGATCAGAATATGCCTATAGTCTATTGTAACCAATTACCTATGGCAACATCTAGAGTATTAACATTATAGATTATGGTACTATATACAGTATACAAAAGATTAAGGGAAATTTTGTTTTAATTCACATCTAATCTTACATAATCTTACACCACAAACCCTACAATGCTAAAAATTAGTGATGAAATCAAATGCTAGAGCACGTTCACATTATAAATGGTTATTAGCTAAAAATAACGATCTGTGACATGAAAAGAGCATCAACTTAAGCTTCTCTACAGTAGAACACCACAGTTTTCAGCGAGCTTACAGTAGAACACCACAGTTTTCAGCGAGCCTACAGTAGAACACCCCAAAGTTTTCAGCGAGCCTACAGTAGAACACCCCAAATAGTTTTCAGCGAGCCTACAGTAGAACACCCCAAATAGTTTTCAGCGAGCCTACAGTAGAACACAACAAACAGTTTCAAGTCACAAGTGGCCCTAAAGCAGAACACTTGACAATTGTTATGACTCAGTTTTCCAGGTAAGTTTAGCTAGTATTGCTACAAAATATTTTTGAAAGCATATGTGACACTGATTACACACTTAACACAATTTTTGACCCTGTCTAGTAAGTGTTATTTTTTTATTACTTATGGTTCCAAAGTATACAAAATGTGTGTTATTCCTCTCAAACTTTACTTTGACATTTGCCTAAGACAGCTTAGGAAAAACATCCTGAAGGCTGCCGACTCATTATCAAGAGCTGTGACATATTGTTTCATAAGTTGGCAGCCTTCAGGTACCTTTATTATGTCTTCCTCGGTTGTCTGAGGCAAAGGTCGAAGAAAAGTGAGGGAAATAATAGTCATTTTTTATACTTTGGAGGCATAAGCAGTCAAGAAATAGAGCACTTAATACTCTACTCAGGAACAAAAAAATATAAAATCGTACACAGTTTTAAAAATACACAGACATTAATACATGGTAATGGTCATTTGTGAAAATGTAAATATTTGTCTACTTACGAAGTACATAAACAGCACAGGTGTTGGTAAGGTAGTTTGTAATGATATTTAGCATTATTTTCAGCTACATTAGATCATAGACAAGTAGTTGATGTTGTTCTGGTTGTTGAGTTGCTAAATTTTGTATTGGTTTCTTTAATTTGTTTATATTGTGTGGTTATGTTTTTTTAGTTAAACTGTTTTGTAAAATTAAAATATAATTAATTTCATACATCTTCATTAAAGAATGACACACACCACATTCATTGCATTTGTGTACATAAGTACATATAAAAACCATCACTAAACTATGAAAGTTCATGATCACATTTAATGATGTATAATAACTTGAATACAGGTAGAAATAATTCAGTTCTCATTTAGGATTTTAATCCACATTGTTAGAGGGCTCACAGTATTGAGTCTATCTTACCAAGGACAAAAAAGGTTTCCACAAATATTGCAGTTCTTTACACAATTTCAATAACATGAATCTCTTGCAGGAGCAGCAGCATCTTTTAAATGTAAAGTAAGGACAATTCTAATTGTATATTTACCTACCTGTTCTTCTCACTTCACCACACCCCTGCCAACCCAAGCTAACATTTGTTCTGCTATATGGGCTATTTACCCACTTGCTACACTACACAGTTCTTCATTTAAAACGTGAGCATGGCTAATTGCTTATTTCTTATAAATTGCATTATGATAATTAATAATTAGGCTGTCTTATTACTAGAGTGCAGGCATAGAATCAATCATAAAATTATGATCATTCAATTTTTGTTTTTGATTCCTCCATATACAAAACTGTGGCTAATTTCTCCATCCACCAATAATGTAGCTGTTTTTATTTCATGCTGTAATTCATTGTCATATCATTACTATCTTTCATGATAGAATGCAGGACAGTACTACATTATATGATTCATTAAATAATGTAGCTTTTTAATGTTCAGTACGGTGCTCTATAGTACTTTTAAATCAACTTGACTTTCAGTGCTTGGCAATAGAGAGAATTTTTATGTGAAACAATTTGGTAAAGTTTGGTAATAGATTAAACAAGTATTTTTTTTTCTTTTCAGATAAAACAGCATATTTTAAAAATTACACTTACATTACTGTATATGCATTTGCAAATGTTATGAAATTTGATTTTAAAATGGTGTATTGAGAACTTCAGCATTTCTGTATCAAACTGAATGTAAGTCATGGTTGGTAGGGATCTAAAACCAAGGACAAAATGCATAACTATTTAAATAATGCCAATAGAATACAAGCATTCATATCTAAAAGGATTAGTAACAAACTTCTAATGTTAGCTTTACCTTGATGCTGTGAAATCTCACTTATTATGCAAGACAGTTTTAAGCCATCGTGCTTAAATCAATATTTAAGCTATATAGAAAGGATGTAAACACCCAAGAGTATACAGAAAATGATGACTTCATTAATCAGTCATTACCCTGATGAAGAGACTAAGAAAACTTAATTTACATTATTTAGAAATGCATGAAGTAGAGACATGACTGAAGTGTGTAAATATATGAAAAAATTTAACAAGGAGGATTTAAATAGGGTTCTAAAAATATCAGCATGAATTAGAAAAATAAACTGCTTCTTGTTCTTTTAGAAATTTGGATTTAGAAGATAACTAGGGAAACACAGGTTCAGAAATGTGAGGTTGGCAATCAGTGGAACAAAGTAACATCATGAAAGCAAAGTTTTTTAAGCATTAGTTGGATTAGTACACTAGCGGAGTGTTTGACGTAAATAGGGGCTCCCTCACACTGACTGAAAGGCCTTCTGCAGTTTCCTATATTCCACACAATAGAATTAAAAATAAAGCAAAAATTGAAAGGTCCCGGTAAGAAAATTAGATATATATAAAAAAAGTAGAAAAATGTTTACAAATAATATGCAGTATGGTAGTACTGTACTACATTTACATGAAAATGAATCCGAATATTTATGAAGCGTAATCATTTTGGAGGATATTACCTAACAGTAAGATTACTAAATTGAATCTATAAATCACATCTTTGCTTTTACTCTGCAAGAACCATGGCAAACTGAAGTTCAATGTGTTTACAAACAGCCATCCTCCTGGTTTCAGCTTAAGAGCCAACACAAGCACAGTACTTATATAGAAAAACATCTCTGCCTATTTCCACATTATAGAATAAAACACTTGTCAGTCATGTCCATCATTGCAATATCAAATGATAGCTCTATCTTTATCACACAAGCTACTTTACATCTTATTTAAAGTAAGTCATTGATATGACCTGTTCTCTAGTACCTTCCATAAGCAAAACCATAATCATTCCTTCATCATCACTAATACCATAGAGAACCTATTTCTTCACATTTGGATAATACCTGCTATTTATCTTCTAACAACTAAACAACAATTCTGTCATTCTTAACAGTTTATGAAGGATTTTTATTCCATGCAATTTCAATACTGTATCCTTAATGACAGTATATGTTCTACAATTTTTTGTACTTACAGTTAATGACACTCCTCCGTGGAGACTCGGACGCATTGAGGAAACAGATCAGGAGACTCCAGTATGAGCCGCATGAGCTGGGATCTCCCCTCCTCAACGCCTTCAAGCTCTTCGCCCCGCAGCTGGAGAACGTCGAGCACTATCAACACCTCGTCGAGCTTTAAAGCCTGATAACGGTCATTCAAGGGATATGGAAACCTTGATTGCTTGCCTTCATCCTTTAAGAAATGGTGTCTGTTGTGTTGTAATAAAATATTTCAGTGATATCTGAAGCTCATTGACCGAGGTTCAGCTAATGCTTCCTCACAAAGCATTGATTGTTAAGACAATTGCTGTTATTTAGGAACTGGTTAACCAAATTTTGCTTTCCAGCACATTTGATATTAATTCATCATGTTTGTCAAAATAAGTATACATATGTAGGTATGCGCAACAATGATCATGAAGCACTGATCAAAGTGTATGGAAAACCACATTGAAATATGATGGAAGTTATAATGTTTTCAACTGTTAGGTCTTCATCAGTAGTCTAACCTAGCTACTGATGAAGACCTAACAGTTGAAAATGTTACAGCAGCTTCAATAAACAGTAATCACACTAATGTGACTGCATCAATGAGAAAATCCATAGGAGTCGTGATGAGGATTTGATTCTATGTGCTCGGAGTTCCCAGGCATAGGTTCAAATCCTCATCACGGCTCCTACAGATTTTCTCATTGATGCAGTCACGTTAAGTGTGATTACTCTGTATTGAAAGAGGAGCATCAGAGGAAGAACATTCCTAGATGATAGTCAAGAGTGCATGGGGGGATTGTGGGAAACCCTGGTTTGGCTTTAGTGGAAGCCTCAAGGAATCCTCATGGGTGCAGTAGTACCTCAAGTTGCAATCCTTTTACCATGTCGTGGTCATGTATGTACAGCATAAATGCATGCATGCCTACATGCATGCTATGCATGCACACAACCGTCTACCACTCTGCAAACAAGAGTGGTAGATGGTTGGAACAAGCTAAGTGAGAAGGTGGTGGAGGTCAAAACCGTCAGCAGTTTCAAAGCGTTATACGACAGAGTACTGGGAAGACGGGACACCATGAACGTAGCTCTCATCAAGTAACTACACTTAGGTAATTACACACACACACACACACACGCACATACACACACCATGAACCATAATACATGGATAGAGAAATACTAAAGAAATTGTTCACAACTTTTGCTAGACCAAAGCTGGAATATAGAGCGGTTGTATGGTGCCCACATCTAAAGAAGCACATCAACAAACTGGAAAAGGGGCAGAGACATGCCACTAAGTGGCTCCCAGAACTGAAGGACAAGAGCTACGAGCAGAGGTTAGAGGCATTAAATATGCCAAAACTAGAAGATAGAAGAAAAAGAGGTGATATGATCACTACATACAAAATAGTAACAGGAATTGATAAAATTGATAGGGAAGGATTCCTGAGACCTGGATCTTCAAGAACAAGAGGTCATAGATTTAAACTAAGCACAGATGCCGAAGAAATATAAGAAAATTCACTTTCGCAAACAGTGGTGTAGACAAGTTAGGTGAGGTGGTGGTGGAGGCCAAGACCGTTAGTTTTAAAGCGTTATATGACAAAGAGTGCTGGGAAGACGGGATACCACGAGCGTAGCTCATCCTGTAACTACACTTAGGTAATTACACACACACACACACACACTGAATTCTACAATCAGGCAAGAGAGGGGTGGGCAGACTGCATATTTTTGGATTGCTAGAAAACCTTTGACACAGTACCACACCAGAGACTAGTGCAAAGGCTGGAGATGCAGGCAGGAGTGAAAGGGAAGGTACTCCATTGGTTAAGGGAGTACTAAGTAACTAAGACAGCCAGTCACTGTGATGGGTGAGGCCTTAGACTGGCAAGGCATCACCAGTGGAGACCAGCAGGGTTCAGTTCTTGGAACTATACCATTTCTGACATATGTAAATGATATACCAGAGGGTATAGAATCATTCCTCTCATTATTTGCTGATGATGCAAAAATTATGAGGAGGATTAAGATAGAGGAAGATAGTATGAGGCTACAAGATGACCTAGACAGACTGAATGAATGGTCCAACAAATGGCTACTAAAGTTCAACCTGAGTAAATGAAAGCTCATGAAACTAGGCAGTGGAAACAGGCCAGACACAGGATACAGAATGGGAGATAAAGTCCTTCATGAAATGGACAGAGAAAGATCTAGGAGTTGATATCACACCAAACCTGTCCCCTGAAGCCCACATCAAATAGAAAAACATCTGCGGCATATGCAAAGTTGGCTAACATCAGAACTGCCTTCAGGAACCTGTACAAGTAATCATTAAGAACCTTGTATACCACATATGTAAGACCAATCCTGGAGCATGTGGCCCCAGCATGGAGCCCGTACCTTGTCAAGCACAAGACGAAACTTGAAAAAGTTCAGAGGAATGCCACTAGACTAGTCCCAGAACTAAGAGGCATGAGCTACGAGGACAGATTGCGTGAAATGCACCTCACTACACTGGAAGATAGAAGAGTAGAGGGAGACATGATCATTACCTACAAAATTCTCAGAGGAATTGAGAGGGTAGATAAAGATGAACTCTTTAGCACAGATGGTACACAAACAAGGGGACAGAGGTGGAAACTGAGTACCCAAATGAGCTACAGGGACATTAGAAAGAACTTTTTCAGTGTCAGAGTAGTTAACAGATGGGATGCATTAGGCAGTGATGTGGTGAAGGCTGACTCCATACACAGTTTCAAATGTAGATATGATAGAGCCCAGAGGCCAGATTCATGAAGCAGTTACGCAAGCACTTACGAACCTGTACATCTTTTCTCAATCTTTGACGGCTTTGTTTACAATTATTAAATAGTTAATGAGCTCCGAAGCACCAGGAGACTGTTTATAATAATAACAATGGTTGATTGGGAAGTTTTCATGCTTGTAAACTGCCTAATAAATGTAACCAAAGCCGTCAAAGATTGAGGAAAGATGTACACGTTCGTAAGTACTTGCGTAACTGCTTTGTGAATCCAGGTCCAGTAGGCTCAGGAATCTGTATACCAGTTGATTGACAATTGAGAGGCGGGACCAAAGAGCCAGAGCTCAACCTCCGCAAGCACAACTAGGTGAGTACACACGGTTGAGAGGCGGGACCAAAGAGCCAGAGCTCAAACCCTGCAAGCACAACTAGGTGAGTACATACACACACACACATATGTACATATATAAACACACATTATATACAACTGATAAATCAAAAACCTACTTAACCATGCCCAAAATATTTGAAGTACAGTATTGTTGCAATTATTGTTTACTACAGTTTAAGACAAACATTCAGATTTTCTGGATTGTAAATATTATAAATCTAATGAAGTATGCAGAAAAATACTCTGGTTTTGTAAATCAATTTAAGAAGATGGTTGTGTGTTGTTAGCACTGTAATACTGAATGACAAGTGAACAGTCATTAGCCTATAAAACATTTTGAAAACTTATTTTTGTTTTTCTTGTTAGTGATAATGTCAGGTTTTATATGAAAACTATTAGTTCTTTGTTATTGCAGCCTGTCATCTTGTTACAGCTTAACTAAATCAGGAAAACAATGCACTGAAAACAGTTAAGGAAACTGTCATGAAGAGGTCTTTCAGCTGGCCTATACAAGTTTCTTGGCATTATTTAAATGTATGATTATATTCAGATTGAATATTTCATACAGTGTAAGTCTCAGTAATGGCAAAAGATAAAATGCATTTTCATGTTAATTTTTTTTATTTTGGTTCTTAAAATATTGGCTGCAGAGAGTTAAGACTATATATTGTGATGTAGTTTAAGGTTACTAAGAACAAGAAGGCTGTGGGTGTGACTCAATGTTAAGTAAAAATTATTCATATATATAATTAGATAGCATCTAAATTTTGCATTAATTTTTATGATAGCATAGAATTTACATGTGATATGTAGGCCTAATAATAAATACAATCTGCCGAGTTAAATGTTTTGCATATACTGTACAATATAATTTGGACCCTAAATTTTCTTTTAAGTTTTCTAATCTAATTTTTATCTTGTTTCATACACACATTTTAATGTACAATTTCCTGGTATACACAATAATATGACATGTTCAGCTTAGCAATGGCAGTAGGGCTTCTTTTCTGATCAATATATTATGTTGTGGTTTTTGCCAGGACAGTCTTTGGCAGGCAAGTTGTTGTCACTTTATGATGGTCAGTTTGTATTGCTCAACCATTTTACCACCTTGTAATGAGGCCATGAAAAGTAAATTAGTATAACAAGTTTGTCTTAATTTGCTTGTATGAACCCAACTAAAAAAAAAAAAAGTGTTGAACATAATGAAATGCCTTTTCCTGGTAGAAAACTTTTTCTGGTTTCTGGAGCCGAGGTGGCTCCATGAAACTATCTTCCTGAGATTGCTCATTCTAATGGATCACACCAGTTGCAATTGTTGCTTGGCCTACCGGGAATCGGAGCCAGATCCTGGCCCCCTCATAGTGGCACAGAGCAAATGACAATTTGCCACCCTACTGGGAAAGCATTTAGAAAGTCAGCAAAGCTTTACAGAAATCTGGAGAGTTCACAGAATACTATGCCTTGAAACTGACAAAGAAATCTGAAAGCACTTAAAAAACAACAGATTCACTCAAAACTAGCTCAAACTTATTAGTTTCTGAAATCCACCACCAGATGGCTCGGCCCCAACCCACAACTAACTCATTTGTTCTGGAATTGATGAACAGCCCACCGTTGAACCTGAGGGAATGGGAGGGAATTGGGGACACTATTCCACTAAGTATTTTGTACATTTTAATAACTTCCTCTCTGTTGCTGCTTCTTTCTAGTTGTTAGATCGAGCTCCTTTAAACCTGTCCTCATAGTTTATGATCTGCCTCCACTGCTTTAGTTGTATCAAGGTCTTCCAGTGTATTTTTACCTCCCCTTAAAAGTACCTACTACACTGTACACAAAGCTAATTCATGGGTTGTTATTGAAACAAAACACCTGTGCCTTACTGTCAGAATTGCACTGTTCTACTAGCAGTCACTCATCTGACAAGTCATATTTTCAAGATCGAAAATTTTGCTTTCAGGCAGCTCCTATACACCACATCTCCCTTGACAAAAGGATGGTATTCATACTAAGAACACTAACAATAATAAACAGCCTGGCTCAACAGACAAATCCCATAGGAAGGAGTGGATACACAAGTCACACATGTCCAATGCATCTAACAAAGCATGCATGAAGAATTACATGACAACTGACGTATACAACCAAATTTTCATTATTCAGAAAACTATACACAATACTGGTTTGGCCAGTCAGAGTATGCAATCCCGCATAGAATCCACATCTGTTAAAGAACTGAAAATTTAAAGTCAAAACAAGTTACGCCTGCACTTCATAAAGATGAAGGTTATCTTGAGATGATTTCGAGGCTTAGCGTCCCCATGGCCCGGTCCTCAACCAAGCCTCCTTTTTGTTATACACCCCCAGGAAACAGCCCGTAGCAGCTTTCTAACTCCCAGGTACCTATCTACAGCTAGGTAACGGGGGCATCAGGGTAAAAGAAACATTTTGCCCATTTGTCTCTGCCTCCACCAGGGATCGAACCTGGAATCTCAAGACTACAAATCCGAAGTGCTGTCCACTCGGCTGTCAGGCGCCCTTGAAGTGCAGGTCTTCTTCACTTGGTCTAGGGGTGTCATTTTCTTTTCTTTGTTGCCCCGCAGCCTTCTTTGTTTTTGGCCACGAGACTTCTGCTGTCTGGATGAGCTCTTTCAGTCAGTGATGCTTGGTTTGTCTGGTCAGAGTGCATCTTATGCTCTGGCCAGTGGCTGCAGTGCAGCACTATTTGCATGCTTCTCGTACTTGTAGGGTCATGATCTTGTTTATCAACCCTATATCTAATGTCCCATGTTCTAAGGCCCACATCTCCTAGGCCATCCACAAATTGGTTCATTTCAGCCAGATGGCTGTTTATACTCATGATATTCAAAAGTTTATGGCTTTGTTTGTTAATGTGTTCCACAGCTAATTTCCAAGCTCAGTTTCTGGGAGCCAAATGGGTGTTGGCCATTACTTATTGGATGTATTTCAGCCATGCTTGTGTTGTATTTGGGTTTCGGTCAACATTCTCCTTCCCAGGCTGTCCTTTCCATGAAGTGGTAGGCTGAAAATAATCCTTTATTAGTGCTTTCCTTGCTAACCATTGATACTCCAGGTAGATATAGTAGGGAGTCAAAGCATTCCCAAATTGCAAACTATGTTGATAATTTGTCTATATATATTGCATCATCAATTGCCCAGTTTACTTTCATAAAGCATTTAGCCATGTGCTTGTTTTTAGGCTACCGGCTTGTTCTTTCCAACAGTTGTAATAAGATGCCATTTGAATCGGGTATGCGAGACATGATGAATATCGGTACAAAGAGGATGTCTTGAAATTGTAAAGGTTGTTACATAAAATACATAGTGTGATGTATGTGAGCTAGTACAAAAACTGTGATTTTTTATAGATTAAATATTCTATAATCAATACTTACCCCCTTCTATTAGGCATCTCTCTTTGATACTTGAGCAGTTATATACAAGTTACATACAAGTAATCTCATTAACCATAAAATTATTCTTAATTTGGCTAAATTAACTAGTATCATTAATTCTTATAGGCACAGACCTTGTGGTGTTCAGAGTTAGAATAATGTTTCTGTAGATCCCTGCCCACAGTTCCCAGGAACCAGGACAATTGAGCAAGCACCTGAAACTGCAGCATCCCTTGGTGAGTCGCTGGGGAGCATCATGACATCATCGTCTAATAATGCACGCCATGCAAGGCACTCTACCAGATATAAAAATGCAAATTCCAAGAAAGTTGTTCAGAACATTGTTTACAGCACCTTGAGAAAAGATGTAAGCTGGACGTAGAGAAAGGATTTACAAACACACATGACAATGAGCATAATCATTATATATTCAAGGATAAATAACCAGATTTTTTTCTTAATGGAGTCTGTTAACACTTTCGCTGGTCCAGCGGGCAACCCGTTGTGCACCTCAAGGTAGGCCGAGCGGTACATGGGAACTCGCCACCACCCACAAATGTTTATACTCTTTTTAGGTTTCTCACCTCAATTTGTGCTACGTCGTTCAATTTGGTATCAAATTGTTCGCAATAGAATGCTGTAAAGGGATATTTGCATATAAGAACATATAAGTCTCACTTTTCTATACTTTCAGTGAAAACAATAACTTTTCTCTCATACGTGTTTCTTTCAATGTTTTCATCATGGATTGGCTCTGTTCTTGATCAGTATCCATCTGGAAGTCAGTTTGCAGTGTTTATAAAACTGGTAACAACAAATACCCGAGATAAAATAACCAGAATGGGGAAACTTTTTGACTCGAGGGGAGGCCGTGGCTGTCACGAGAACAGTGAGCCTCCAGCATGGGTGGACGCCCACACAGTGGGGTCAGGATGCCACGTGGGGTATACAGAGAATGAGCAGAAACTGGCACACATTTTAAAACAAGTCCCATAGTATTTGGACAAATGTTATTTCTACACATTTTTAAATTATTTACACCTATTTGCATCATCGAGCATACTACGTATTTTGGTTTTATGCTGCAATGTGTGACATTGAGCAGCAAAAGTGTTAGGACATTCATTCTACATGCCTGGAGTCTAACCCTGTTCAGCTTTGTGATCAAGCTATGTGTAAAACTTTGAAATGGTCATTAATAAATGTTGAGCAAACATTAACATCACACATCGCTGTTCCATCAAGACAATATCATAGCCATATTTAAAGTTACCTAGAGCAACAAAATCATTTTACTGTTTTGTATTCAATTATATTCTTCTCAGATATGACAAAATTATTATTTTGTCATATCTGACAAAATATGATAGGTGTTGAAAATTTATTTCAACCAATTTTCAAAATTAGTGAGATTCCAATTTGTTCATTAGTGAGATTGATTTTTATTCAGAAATGTCAGGCATTTTACACACACACAATTGTTTTCAACATGAACTTACAGAAATAAGTATGAACTACATATACTGTACCATGTAAATGAAAATAAAATTGATAGAAAAAATTATATCAAGAAACAAGTTTAAAAAATAAATGATAAATGCAGCTAATATATATAATTGTAGCCAACATATAGAAAATTGTAACAATATACAAACACAAATGCAGTTTTTTGGAAACATTGTACATAATGTAGTTACAGTATTTTATTCTCGCCAGAAGATTCAAACTCACCTTTAATACAGCTTGTGGAATGGTCGCACGACTGACACGATTTAGATCGCTTCTCGGCAAGACTTATTCGTGACGGTTATTACAGAATAATATCAAGTGGCTGCCACAAGGGTATCCGTTTTCCCTGTTAATGTAATTTGATTTTGATCTGAAAACCTGCCGCACCATTATACAAACCACTCATATTTAAGCTGTATTTTCTTACAATCTTCTCAATATTTGTGACAGACAGGTCAGCAATAAATTAATGATTGGGGGGAAAAAAAAATAAAGAGCTAATGCTGTTGGCTGCCAAAGTCAGCATTTGGCATGTCCGAAATGGGTTATTGCTAGCTAAGAATGATGGCTTATCACACTAAAGCTTATAGGTATTTGAAAAATATGAACGAGAAAAAAATCAAGGGCAAGTTACATAGAAAAGCTTAATGGGAAATGAAATGGTTTTGGTTATAAAATAAAAGCATCTATATCTTTTAATGCTTTTATCTATAAAAGCATTAGATATTAATATAAAGAACATTTGGGTTTGTATGCAATAAGCACTGGTAGATACACTATATGGGAGGATTTGACATTAACCCTTTGGCTATGCAATGCAATGGTAATCAAATAAAAAATAGGCCTATACTGCAATATGCAAACTATCAGTTGCCTTCGAAAAATGTTTTCAAGTGTTGTAATGTTGTTGCCTCGCCTTCAAAATAGGTGCCTGGACACAGTAACTGCTGCCATCTGTTGGCAACAAACTGAAATGTCACCCAAAGCAGTAGCACTAAAATGTTCAACTATGCCTTGTTCAAATCCTCACACCTATTTATCAATTTTAGTTTACATAATTAAGACACTATATGTTTTGTATATTGTAACATTCATTAATGACTATTTTGTTCATTTAGCACGCACCCTACACCCATTCAGTGGAAAGGTTAGAGGTACATAAACCCATGTATAGGATAATACACACACCATCTGACCGAGTGTCTGTTTTTTCAAAGTTGGGAGGCCAAACACTAAGGACTATCCTCATCAAACTTTGCAATTTAACTGGTCTTTGTCCAGGGGATAGTCATAGACAGGTCAAGGGTTGAGCCCCATGCCACCCCCACCGTCTTTGCATGAAACAGGAAATCATACTAATTTCCAACCTTGCTAAATAAAAAGACCATCCTCACTAAGACTATTGCTTAAAGACAACAATTTGCTTAGATATATGCAGTGCAGCTCATAACATTCAATTTCAATATCAGCTGCAGTTACATTCAGTTTCATAAACTCTGATGATGGAAATATCATTCATGAAATCATTCATAAAATCAGACAGTTTATGAAACAAATTAACTTTGGCTGATATTGAAGGTAAATTGTGTCAAATAACCTCTCTTTGGTTCTTCCACACACTGTATACATTTCTTTACTTTATGGCATTCAACTGCAGTGGGGAAGAGATAATTTTTCTGCTCTAAAATAAATCATGAGCACCCTGAGGTCAAGAATGAAAGATGACAAATTGAACTACAGTACTTTTCTTGATGTATATGAAGTTGAAGCATTTGCACAAACTATACTGTTGGGATATTATTCATGACTGCCATTTTAATTTTTAAATACTATATTGTTTCTTGTGATCATTTCTACTTCTCTTTTGTCAGAAAATACAATGATCATCTTTTGAGCTTGCATTTTATTTACACCTAATTTTAATAACACCCCAAGACCTTAAGCTCAAGTTTATGTTGCCTGCAGAGCTATCCACCCTTGGTCGCAGCCAAAAGGTTAAAGGAAAATGGGAAGTAAAAACTTTAAAATGTAAGGAAACAAATTAGCAACTAATAATTAACAATGCGTGTAAATGTGATTTATAGAAACCAATAACAAGAAGTTAAGAGGATAAGATGCAGGTGTGAAGGTGTTTCTGTTCAATATCAAGAATAAAACAATGTGCCCAAAATAAAGAAATACTGTACAGTAAATATAAAAAATTTGATTATAACAAAATGGTATTTTCAAATGACTGAGGATTCTAAATATTACTGAAAAAGATAGAATTCAATTATCAAATAACTGTACTGTTTTAGGCAGATATTTGTAACTACAGTACATCAAGTGGTACAATAATGTCTATTTCTGAATACATGCATCATTTAACACTTCCCCAAAATGTTCTTAATATCCTTAACACTGGCTGCCAACAAGTTTGCATAACCAACTTATCTCTCCAGTCCTGCTACAGTCAAATCTATAAACCAGATTATAGATTTGACACATTACACCATAAATTTATAAAAAGTGAGATTGAGTAGTTTAAAGCATTAATCTAAGAAATATTTTCCTACTATTGAAAACAATGCAAAATGACCTCTTCTGGGAACTAAAACTTTTCATTTACATTAGTACAAAACAAAAATCTGCACAATTCTTAGAATTCTAAACTTAACTTGTTTTAATGTTCAAGAAATTAATATTACACATTCATGTCTCACAAATGTGTCAAACTTTGGTTTTGTAATCACAAACAGTTACGAGTAGATAATTTTATCAGTACTGGTCGTGCCTGGGTGTTCAATGCCCCAAAATACTTTTGGGTTGTAACATTAACATGTTAAAACTTGTGTATGTGACATTGTAAGTGTTTATTTTGCTTAATGCCCAATAATCACTAACACAAATCAAGACAAAATGCATATTAACAATTGACTAAGATCTGGTTCTATTAGCAGGAACTTTACACAGAAGGTTTCTTATTTCTTGTTCTTTGACGTTACCTTTCTCCTTAAGCTTCAAAATGATTTCTAGTAGTAGTTTATCAGGGCTTGCTAGCCCAGAGCTGAGTCCCATTATTTCTGGGGCAATCATGTACTCTGGACTCATGCCATCAATATAAAAATTCAAAATGGCAATCAATTCATCACTGGACTGGGGAAGGCAATATATTCTATCATGCTCAACTTTCTCCACTTGCTTTGAATCACTGCTCTCTGAATCATTTGCTGATAATGTCAAACTTGCCAACTTGGACTCTACAGTGACCTGACCATCAGAAGACACAGATTCATTTTCAGTTACTGATTTCAACTTTTCAGTTTCATGTATCTGATTTTGTATTTCTGAAGAATAATCATGAAGTTTTGACCAAGACTCGTCTGTTTTAAGGTACGAGTGTAACAAAGATATTTCTGCAGCGTAGTACAGATGACGTAAATGATTAACACTTGACGAATTATTTTTATCCTCTTGCTCTATCACTGCCGTTCCTAGTGTTGTTAGGTCATTTACTCCTGGATGAACAAAAAGGTTTAATTAAAATCTACCCATTTTCATCGTACACAATATAAGTGTAATCTGGGTACTAAATTATAGATTAATGGATATCTCAAAATGTTCTTAATGACTGTTTAAACATTCATTAAGATTAGACTGGAAACATTTAGATTGGCATCCACCTAACAAATGTACAGGTGTCATGTACTGCACATTTAACACAGAGCATTGGAAAATCTTTTAAGCTTACCTTTTGGAAGTAATGCATGTGTGAGGTGAAGGATGTGGTCAGGTTTGCCCCAGGATACAACATAGCTCAAGGCACTAGTGAGATGTTGGTCCCATGTCTCCTGGCATGAGCTTAACAGACATTCACTCAATGCCACTGCCACTAGGAACCACAGCTAAGAAAAATGTTAATTATACTCCCAGTATAACTGATACAAAACAAAAACTACAAATAAGAATGAAAGTACTGTATAGGAATTGGCTCAGCATATCAACTTAATTTCATTCTAGGGGTTATTACATCAACAACATAAATGACAGCATACATACACATTGGAGAAATTTAGATTCAGGAAAGACCTTGGTAAATAATGATTTGGAAACGGTTGCTAATTTATGGAGTGCATTACCGGGAAACATGAGACACAAGATCACTAGGATCACCAAACTTTCAAGCGTAGGGTTAACATATATATACTGTGGGAAAAAGTATGGGTGGATACAAATCAGAGCTGCCTAGTTTGGGCCAAAAGGCCTCCTGCAGTTTCCTTCATTCTTATGCTCTTATACTAGTATAAATAGAAAGCCGAATCAAGAACTATACTTGACTGCTTCGTATGTTGGGATTTAGGCCAGGTACTGGACCAAGTTAGATCATTTATTGTTATTTGAATATGTATGCATGTGTATAATATAATTTGGTTTACATTTTATATTTGCTACCAGTTAACATGACCTAAGGACCACAACAAGGAGGTAACTTGCTTCCTTTCAATGCTTCTTAATACCTCTTAATTAAATTAATACTTTTACTATGCTCATAAATCTTGTGTAAATCTTTTCACACACAACTGTTCACTTTATCCTTACTTTTTTTTTTTTAAATATGCCTGGGGCTTAAAAAACTTTTAATCAGATACAAATTGCTCTCTGACTAAAACTTCCCTCCTACTTATAGATGCATTACTATAAAACTTTGTAACCAAATTAAAATGTATATTCCATATGCCTATACACTATGTACTATTTTAAATTTTACTTATGGATCTGCTAACCTTTTATACCAAACATTAAGGTAACATTTTAATTCTTTAAATTTTACAATACCTTGATTAAAGTAAATTAATTTAAATTTTATCTTCCACCAATTTAAATACAACCTTTTTAAATTACCTTATGTTTTCAGCATTAAATGCAACATTTTCTCAAAGTTTAAACAAACAATACCTGTTTGACTGAAGTGGGCATCTGCTGAGTGGAGAAGTTGAGGGTGACTGCCTCGTAGAGCTGGGGATATTGATCTTGAGTAATGCCTTGTGCTAACCATGCCTCTTCAATTCGCTCTAGTAGAGGAACCCACTCTTCAGATACACAACACTCGTTCTCTGTTACTACCTCACCATTTCCATTAGCACAAATACCATTTTTCTCCTCAGCATCAGCATTTCCATTCACTAAGTTCCCTTCAATCAGGGTCTCTTGACTGGCTTTATTAGTCTGTTCCTTTCTACTTCTCATAAGGTAATTAATGTGACCTCCTTTCTGTGTACCAACTTCTTGTAGTAAGTCCAAGATAACACTTTGGCAGCAAGAGACTGTCTTGAACCACTGTTGAATAGCATTTTAGGGTAACAAACATTTAGCAAAGCTACAATTTAAATGGTTTGAACTTAAATGGCTTGATATTAACATGAAAGTATGTTTCTATATTTACGATTCAGTATTTAATTATCCCCTTTTGAAGGTGATTAGCACTAATTATTCAGTATGCATCATACCACATTATGAATATAATTTTACACAGCTAATAAAAACAAATACACTACCAGGCTGTGACTCATACATCAGGCTGCGAGCAGCCGCGTCCAACAGCCTGGTTGATCAGTCCCGCGGCCTGGTTGACGACCGGGCCGCGGGGACGCTAAGCCCCGGAAGCACCTCAAGGTAACCCCTAATAAATTCAAATGGAACAAAAAGCCTGTGAAAGATGGTGAGAGTGTAGTATGCCACCAGATAGTAACTAGGCAAATGTCATTAAGTAAAACTTTACTTTTATCCTATCATTTGATGGACAAATACCAGAAGAACCTGTCTATGGAAATTTCTCCCTCATTGCCATTATTTTTCTGTCCAGTTCCCTTAAGCTTATCTTTCAAAGGAGGGACCATGACACAATGAAGCAGGCCCATCAACGTCTTATACCCAAATGTTTTCTTCAACTCAAGTTTTTCTATGAAATATCCTGGGAAGTCATTCTAATAAATAATTAAGGAGTGCTGGTTTCATAAACATATTCAGAATAACATTTCTGGCACTTACACCAACCTAAACTCTGACATTCACTGAAGGAGAGAAAACATAATATAAAAATAAGAAAAGATATGATCTGCATATAATTGCTTTGCCTTAAGATTTGGATTTTAAATATACATTTCTCAATAGATCTAGTCTTAGAGCCGAGTATTAAAAATAGAACTGTGCTTTATCCCTTAAAGGGCGCATATTGTATACTGTACTATACACAATTTGAGTAAATGTCGCTGAAGGCACATCGTATATACACAATTAACGGCACCACTATGTATTAATAGTATTCGTGTAAAGTCTTCCATAATAAAAAATAAGTAATATACCTTTAAAATAAGAAAAAGCAGATGGTCTCAAAGGATTAATTGCATACTCACATTAAGGTTAGGCAAATGAGCGAGGAAGGGCTCGATCTTATGATGCTCATGTTTAAGACACGCTTCTTTGAGGGCTAACAAGCCAACCGAGTTGGCCAAATCAGCATTTCCTACATGCTCATATATCTTAGATGAAACAAACAATGACCCTGGATCACTTCTCCTGGACATACAGCGTGCAGCCTCTTCCACATGACCAATGCTCAAATGTCTAAAAGAAAAAACAAAACAGAAAATAAGGTTGATATTTAATACATCCCAGTTTAGTAGCCTTGCACATAGTAATCAAATACTATCACTGATATTGTGTGAGCTTGTGTGCTAACATTCTTGCTCATGCATCTAGCCACATACACACTTTCTCTGTTGTAAGAACCACAAGGTTACCTGTTTTTATCATGTACTGTACACTCTCCAGCATTTATTGATTCATTAATATTTTATTACCATGTGCAACTTTTCTGGAGTGAGTAAAGATTGAAATTTTAAGTACTGTACTGATATGATGAAAAATCATAAAATTAATTTAAACACACCGCTAACCAACCATTCCTACAATGAATGGGTGGAAGTATTAGACTATAATCAGGGCTGGATTACCCAATAGGCCAAGTAGGTCATAGCCAAAAACCAGTACTTTTTTTTTAACTTATATAAGAACAGTATGGAAATATGGATTCTGCAAAACTATGCATAACATAACTTTGATCTTTAGATATAGATATGAGCTGTCTATGTATACATTTAGCCTTTGAATAGCACACTGACAAGGCCCATTTAGCTGTTTTGGCCTAGGGCCCAATAACAATTAGATCTGACCCTGTAGGCATGATAACTCACAGGATAGAAGCAATATCAAAATTTCCTTCATAGATAGCAGAAGCAGCCCAAGCACATGTAACTTTCTCCAACATCTCTTCGTCATAACTCAGACGACACTTGGTTATGGCTAGTGCTTCTCGATAGTGCCGATGCTTTAGTAGCATGGAAACAGCTTCTTTGACCTGAAATAAATAACAAACTTAGAGCTTAGTAAGATTGCCTAATTGTACTTAGAACATTCCAAATACCTGTACATTTCATTTCATTTCATTTAGTAGCGCACTCTCCCTCACCATGTTAGGGGTTGTTGGCACAACAACTTCAAGTATGGCATTTTCAAGAACCCTCACAACACTCATTATGCATTATGCAAAACTGCATTAATACTTCATATGGCATACAATTCCTGAGTTTCACACAGTTTAAATCAACCTTGCACTGGATTGCAAAACTGAGCTACAATGGCTATTCAATTTACTACTACATTTTGGTCTAAATATCTTCTTTATTATTCTTACCTTATTTATGTTTACAAGATAAGATGCAGCAGTGATAACATCCCCTTCATCCAATAACTGCTCTGCATAAGCTTCACACGCCAACTCCCACAATCTGAGGGCAAAATATTTTTACTTGTCTGCTACTTAAAAAGAATTAAGTGCAATGAAAATGTTTTGTGTAGTGAAATGCGAGTTTCTTACCAGCACCTCAATAGCTTTCCTTAGCTTACACCACAGGCATAAATACAATAGTGAATATGCTAGGCTTCTGATGACAATCTTGGCACACCAGGGGCAGGTACCTTTTTGAGCTGTCTTGTCCTCCTCCATGAGTGTGGATCTCATGGATATAAGAGATCAACCTACAACCGAGATGAACTGCCCCAAAAAATACAGAGAAATACAGCAAGACACTTGACTTCGCTCTAAGGTTTTTACATACAGTATTGTATTTACAACAATTTAGTTTGGGTAGCTCAAAAGTGTGGGACCAACTACAGGCTACTTATGTACTCGTGAAAAACAAATTTAAATATGTTCCAAATTTTAACTCCATGTAGGAATAGATGACATTAAATCCTAGCATGCAAGACCTGGATTCTACTGAACATAAATTAATAATAATAATAATGAAATGTATTAATAATGCTCACTTTATAGAAACTTGTGGTGCAGATGCCACCAAGAAAGGGGTGAGCTTCTTGTGTCTGGCAGCAGAACGAATGTGTTCATCCAGTGACCCTCTCCAGCAGTGCATAAAACCAGTCTGTCCTACATTTCCCCTCGCTTCATGATGTTGAACTGAGAACAAAATTCATGTAGGCTGTGTAAGTAAACCATTTACAAATATATTACTATAAATACACTGAATAAAATATTACATTCTTTTCAGATGAAGGATAATTATGAACCAATTTTACCCAACAGCCTATGTACCAGAGGTTTTGTTAACCTCCTTCCCAATATTAGTGTTCTGCTATCTTAAAATCAATAAAATCATACCATTTAAAGAATGTTAAAAATAAAATGAACTTATACAATTTTAATGGCCTCATTTCACACTACAAAAATACTTAAATTAGTGCATGGACATTTGTAAATGTTGTTATATACAACTTTCCATTCATTCATTGCCTGAGGAACATACAGGTGGTATGTTCAAATTGTAAACAATAAAAGTAATAATTTATGAAGTATTGTATTGGTTTAGTAAATGTGGCAATTGTGATAGTTTAGAGAATGAGACTGATTAGAGAATGTTAACTTGAGAAATGTTATGTTGTACATTATAAAATCTAGAAAATATTTAAATTAGTGCTTTGGTGGTAATTACTTTCAGCAGCCAAAAGTGAATCCAACTGTTGCGGTTTTCCATACATGTTGAGTGCATAGATGAAATCACTTGGATCGGCCATTTCTGTGTCCTTTTCTAACAGGCATCGATACTTTTCAGATGTTTCCACTATGTTGGCAAGATCATCCACAACTCCATCCTTAGTAACACTAAAACAAGAAGAGGAATGTGCACGTATAATTTATTAATAATAGAGATTAATCACTTATTTCTTCCTAGTAACAAGATAGCTGTGTAAACAAAATTAGAACTATACAAACTGCTGTGGATAAATATTACATTGATGAATATCTATCAGAAAACGGAGTGCAATCAGTAAGCTGGAGTGGTCCTTGCTATACCAAATACTGCAGTGATTGATCCTTGCACTATGTACCAACCTTTCTTCTAAATCTTCCTCCAAATCTTCCTCCTCTTCTATTTCGTCATCTTTTCCATTAGTCACGTCTTCAGTGCCGCCTGCTTTGGTCCGATTAAGAAGACAAAGGATGGCCAACTGGTGAAAACTCTTCTTACGCGAGCTCACCACGTGAAGTTTTGGGAAGAAGGACTTGGATGGAGTTTTCTTATTGCTTCCAGTAGCATTATTTGTAGCAGTATTCGACACATTGTTACTGCTGGTGGCTCCTGTCTTTTCTGTTTATTACAAACAAAAAAATAATGTCATTCAAAATACTCTGAAAAATACAACATTGTCAAATAATAATGAGAGGATATACAGAGGTGAAACTATAATAGTGGGGGGAAAATAAAAAAATAATTCCAATAAACTAATATGCAAGAATGAATAGCATTACCATAAGACTGCTTCCCTTCATATAAATCCCTTTGTAAGACAGCTGCCACAATTTCAGCACCTAATGTCACACAATTTTAATGCACGATATAAAAATCTAGACAATTATTTCTTTTGGTCAACATTCAAATCTATTAAATTTTGTGCAAGAAAATCTTGCTAACTCTTTCACTGATATAACTCGGATTCAGCTTTGTTCCCATCCTGAATAAATATGGGGCAAAAATCAATTATGACAGTAATATTTTTTTTAGTATTTTTGAAAGAAAAACTTCTTTTCAATTTGGTTAAAAAAAAGTTCACAGTAATGATTCACAATTCACAAATAATGTATCGATTCCATTTTTTAATAGAAATATGGCCCAAGTAACTCGACACCAGGACATAAGAATTTAAGACATAGAATATAATTATAAATACAATCAATAAGCATAATTCCCCAAGTAACTATATTAGGGAGTACAAATATTAGTGCTTTCATGCAATTCTTTGAAAACTGCTTTCATTCTTTTCTCTGTGAAGTCAGTTCTTATCTATCTTATTTATTCCCTTCCATATACTGAATGATAGATTGAGTAAATTGAAAATGACATATCCTGGCTAAAGTTGTAAGGTCTTTAATGATACATGTCTAAATAAACAATGTACTATTTCCTCTAAGTATACCAACATACAATACTGGTGTACAATATTGTACACCAATTAAATTATAGCACAACTATAACATGCTGCATATATAAACTTGTCTGAACATCAACTCTCTTAAACTACATAATATAAATGATTAAACACAAACTTTCACTTGAAGGAGCTGGAGCAGGTGTATCCTTTGTCTTTTCAGCTTCCTTTTGTAAAATTGTTTCTTGTTCTTTCTCTTTTATTCTTTTAGGCCGAAACTCTTTCAGTGTTGCTGAAAAGAAGATATTTAGATAATTAATATTGTAAAAGATTTAACTTTTATATGTATTGGTATTTAGCATAAATTCCCTTTCCCCCCTTTCCTATCACAATTTTATTATGAAGCAGTCAACCTTGTACCTTCCTTATATAATGACAGTCTCAAGAGTTGTCCTGTTCTTACAAGCACAACCTTTTTTGACCACCGCACCCCCTGTTTATTGCAGACAACACACTGGTGCGCTGAAAAAAGTTCACACTAATTTCGTTTTCTAATAATGTTAACACTTTCGTGTGCCTGGTGGGCGACCCACCGAGCACCACAAGGTAGGCCGAGCGTTGACCATGAGCGCACAAACCACTCAAATGTTCAGAATCTTTTCAGTTTTCTCATCTCAACGTTGGGCATGAGCCCACAAACTACAATCAAATGTCTATACTCTTTTTCAGCTTTCTTACTTCCATTTTTGTACTACGTCATTCATTGTGGTATAAAATTGTTCGCAATATCACGGTGCACATTTTAAAACCAGTCCCATAATATGCGAACAATAAATGGAATTTTTACAAATCTATTAATTGATGATGGTGTTATCATCATCAGGGCCTCTGTGTATTTTGGTTTTATGACGTCGAGACTGTCATCAGAACGCGAAAGTGTTAAAATACATTCTCTGATCACAGTAAAAAAATTGTATGTGACTGACTTTAGCCATGGTGAACTCAAGTTGTCTTGCAATGATGTCACAACTCTGTCAAACTGGGCAGAACACAGTTTGTAACGTGTATATATAGCACATGAGGAGTAGGACTGCCTTAGGAATGGCAGGGCCCAATTGGAAACATTTCTGGCAGGGCCCAACTGGAGACAAGATTATAGTAGATCACCCTAGCCCAGGGCCCCTTGAGTACAGGGGCAAATTGGGATCAATTGGTCCAACTGACTTAAAGCTGGCCCTGGTAAAAAGCACTGCATTGTACAGTATATCTAGTCTAATGAAGCAGTAAGATACTGCTGTAATTAACTGATTTACTGGATTATGGAGTGCTGCTGCTTCTTGTACTTTACTTTCCATTGGCTCTCAAGACATTTAAAAACTTAAAATACCTGTATATACAAAATCTCTAAGACTTTTTAAAGAACACTAAATATCACTACTAATATTTAGGAATAAATATTTAGGAATACAGTGGAACCTCGAATAACGAATTTAATCTGTTCCGGCACCGAGCTTATGTGAAACGCCCGACTTTCAAAACAAATTTCCCCAATTAAAATAATGGAAATCAAATTAATCCGTTCTACCATCGAAAAACATCAATATGATATTCAATGTTTTAAATAATGGAGCAGCCTACCTGCCAAACACCGAACGAATCTTTTTCACATTTGTTGTTTTTCAAAAAATTTCATTTCTTTTTTTCTACAAAAAAGTAAATTTTTAGCAACATCACATCAGTCACCTTTTTATATCCCAGCATCATTAGCATCTTTAAAAAAAAAAATTATTTGCATCGTCGGAGGCATCCGAGAATGTGCGAGAAGCAGCGCGACCCCACCACGTGGTGTTGTCGTTATTCAAACGAGCGCTCGCCATACGAGATGAATCGTCAGTGATCAGGGCGCTCGTTACCCAAAATGCTCGCCAATTAAGGCGCTCGTCACTCGAGGTTCTACTTAACTGTACTGTATGTATTTTTAATACTCTAACTTACCACTACTGTCACTAGATGTTTTGCAATTCAACTTTGATGGACGCCAGCTATGTACATTGTTTTCCTCCGCAAAACTGTACAGCAGGTCAGGATCAGATGGGCTAAACTCAACACGGAAAACCCTTGTTGAATGTCCGCCATAGTTGACCACTGGTTCTCCTATAAAGAAAAAATATACAAAAAAGGAAAGATTTAATTGGGAAAGAATTTTGTTGACATCACAAAGATAGTGGGAAATAGGGAAGGGAAGTTGGTAAAGCAACTTTATCAATCTCTGATGTTTATACATTATATCATGAAGAGTAATTAATGCATTAGGATTTGAAACAGCCACATTTCCACTTTCAGAACCTGCTTCTAAGTGTACAATAGGAATAGAGATTAATGCTTTTTGAAGGTACCCCATGTTAACAGGAAAAATAAGTAATTGCAACCAAACATTAACACATATTACCTGTTTTTGTATCCCATAACTGAACAGTGTGATCATAGGAAGCGGAGGCCAGGAGCCCATCCTTGTGTGGCGACCACGCCAACCACACCACTCGTGCCTCATGACCACACAGCTCTTGACTTGCTTGTGTTACAATGCTGCCAACTTCCTCTCCTGTCAAATGTATGAAATCATAAAAGATATACTGAATTATGATCAAATATTATAATGGTGAACTTAACCATAGTTTAGCAAGCAAATGACTTGTGTGAGGATACTGTATGATGACTAGCAACATCGTGTTGAAATAACAATGGAAATATACAAACCTTTAAGACGCTTTTCTAAGTGAAAAATTTGTATTTTATTTTCACTTGAGCCAACAGCCAAAATATATGGAATGCCAGAGTCTGTAGCAGGTTGCCAAAGAAGATGCTGAACAGCCTTTCTCACCACAACTAGTGTCACCATCAACTTCAGGTCACAGCTCTGATAAATTCGCACCTGTCTGAAAGGAATTATAAAACCTGTAGAGTATATACTGAACTGTATACACTTATGAATACATAGAAATGTGGCAACCTCACTGCCCCCCATAATATGGTGCAATCAGCCTTGCATCCCCTGTATTATAAGAGTGAAACCCATCTTCCCAAAATTTCTACCTGTTAAAGGCAAAAGTAGCTTTGGTCCCTCACACATTCAGAACCCCAGAAAGGAAAGGAAGGATCATATATCTGTAGAATGTGTAGGGAATACATTAACATTAAACTGGAATGGCAAAAGGTTTTTAAGGCAGATAAGTTCAATATGCTAAGTTTAGACGTGACAAAGATAATAAGGAAATGACAAAACAAAAATTGGAATGGAGTAAACATTTCCGGCAGCTTGAATGGAGATGGGACGGGAGGCTTTATGGAACTTGAAAGGTGGGAGGATGGGTAATGGAGATTGAAAAGTAGGGGTGGGTGGATTATAGAGCTTGAGTGAAAAGTTTGTTTCCTCAGGAATTTTTTGCTGTGGAAACTGCCAGATGAGGAGCTCTCAGAGATATTAAGGCATAGGGGGGGTAGATAGATTTGTATATAAATAACCATGACAAAACCATCAGGGCAGGGTGGACTACCAATTGCCTCCTAATAATACAGTTAAGATTTTTTACACACTTGCTTCCTAGCAGTAGAGAAGTTAAAACATGAATTAAAAATAAAATGGCATACCCATCTTGCGATCCTATTGCCAAATACTTGTAGTCTGGGCTGAAGGAGAACTCTGTAATATCCTTGGGAATCTTCCCAGAATCTGACTCTGGGATCAACTTGAGCAGGTGAACTGGGTCTGAAAATGTATTAGACAATTTAATATTTATAGCACAAGCATGAAAATGTGACAATTAGTCTGAATTAGATACACATACATGCATGTTAGATTTTTGTTATTTGTTCATAACCTTTAAGTACCATAATGGATTTTATGAAACAAAATATGAAACCAATCTCATTACTATTTGAGGAAGAAAAAGTTATCATAAAATTACCAAGGTCACCAAATCTAAGTTTGCTTTTATTATTATTCTTTTAAATGGTCATAGATAAAATTTAAAAGATAAAGAATTGCTAGATGATTTCAGAGATAGTATACAAAAAAAAAATATCAAATATTTTCTGGACCAAGATTCATCAAACAGTTTAAGATTTTATACAAAAACATGTTACTGTACCATATAAAGCAGTTTCAATGAAGCTCCCAATATAGAAAAAAGTGCCAAAGATATTTATGTCAATAATTCATGAATGCCAAATGTGACACTGTGGAAAATCAGTTCCAGTAATGGCATTAAAGCATATAACTATTGTATTAACAGACCTGCCATGGGGTCAGATGAAGTGCGAATAACAATCTCTCTATCTCCAAATGAATATGCACACCAATCATCTGTCAGTCCTGAAATCAAAAACAATATTGAAAAATCTGCATAAGCATGCTAATTATAATCATTCTACTTTTACAGTATTTAATCCTTAATGCCCTGTGGTGAAGTTGCTTGCAACTGGGTTCTTACACCATTTTGGCATTATCTTGCAATTATTTCAGAAATGGTTTACATGGAGTAGGATTTGACAACAAATTAGTGCAGGAATACCTCACTTAACTAATGTTTATTCTATACTAGAAAAATGTTGCCCTTATGCATACCTATGATTTATAACAATTTTTATCTTTATAAAAAATATTTACCCTCTTGAACACAAATGATAATACTGTTCTGTCTTTTGTAATTTTTCACTGCAACCCATCCATAATGAATTGCAAGAGGCCAGCAAGTGCACAAGAGTGGCACTGGCTCTCCAAAATTTAAGTGGGCTATTTTTACTTAAAATAAAGAAGGATATTATAAGGAATTCAAGCTGGAAAAATAAGTTTGCAACAATCAATATAGATGCAGCAAATATTAAATCAAAACAGACTATAATGTAACTTCATCCAGCAAGTTTAACATGGAGGTTAAATTGAGGAATTGCTTTACATGAAAGTTCTGGTACTCTGGATTGAGTACCAGAACTGAAAATAAGCCCGAGAAGAATGTTCATTCAGGCAAAGATGCTTACGTTATTTACTAATTTCGAGAATGAAGTAGGAAAGTGCACTTATGGTAAGGGCAGCATATAAACAAAATTTAACAGCAAATTTAAAATGACTTCCTAATGAAGTAATAATAAATGAAAACAACATGCTTTGCTCTTAACTAACCTGTTTGCTGAGAACAGACTGGTGGTCCCCACTCAACCTTGTACACAGCCTTTTGATGGTAGTAAGCAAATGAGGATACACGTCCACTGGATACATCCACATATCCTACCTGGCCTGATCCAGTGCCAAATAGTAATCTACCCTCATGTGATGGGTGCCATGAAAGCTGTTGGGAAAAATTGGCCATAATTAAATTATGAAGTAAAAAAAAATAAAGATCAAAAGCAAAGGTTGACTGCAATTTGCATAAGCAATTTGTTGCTAGAAAACCTCATGCAAACCAAGGTTATCATTATATGGGAAGACGAGATATGTCTTGATCTCGGCAGATCAAGATGAGTAGCCTTGGGTCGGCATTTAGAAGGATATGAAGAGTGTGGAGTAATGAATACATAGGGAGTAATGAGTTTAACGAGTGGAATGATTTCATGGTCCTTTAATGAACATAACAAGTAAAATAAGTACTGTATAAAGAAAACAAGAATAATGATTATAGGCAGAATAAGGTATAAATTATAATGAATCCAGGGAGTATTATGAGCATACAATATTATGAGAGCAGGGAGGATGAGTACAAGGAATACTGGGAGTATACAAGTACAACAAGTACTGGGAGTATATGAGTACAAGGAGTACTGGGAATATATGAATACAAGGAGTACAAAGGATATAATATACTGAATTGCTACCAGAGCTTCAAAAGCAATTGTGGAAAATAACTGGAACACCATCACATTTTAACACAACAGAAATAAACAGAACTCTCAAGCTAGAACTCTCTCCCTACAGATATTGATAGGTAACTGCAGGTGGGTAAAGAATGATTAGCACAAGTTGATGCCGATTGGTAAAGGGAAGGCTAACGTAGGGAGGGGGAGGGTAGGGGGAATGTCATGACAGTAATGATGGAGGATGCAGTTAGGTGGCAATTGGAGGGATGGATTAGAGGATTAGATTACAGGACAGGTAACCTACTAGTGTGAAGGACAGGTGGAGGAGGATGGGTTCTCAAAACCTAGACTTATCAAATGAACAAATCCACAACGGCTGTGACGAGGATTCGAACCTACGTCCGAGAGCATCCCAGACGCTGCCTTAATTGACTGAGCTACAACATGGTAAAAGAGTTGAAACCAGAAGTTCTACTGAACTTACTTGGATCCTGCAGCCTCTCCGAGACACAAACCAGGATTTTACACAACTCCCCCCTGCACTCGAGCTATGTCAATAGGCCGTTCTACCACTTCGCCCTTACTTCATTACACACAGAAATCACAATAGTGTGATGCATTTTGATGCATCACGCTATTGTGATTTCTGTGTGTAGTGCTAAACTTATCAAGCCTATATTCTTAACATCTGTTTTGATTTCCAATCAAGTAAAAGCAATAGTTTAACATTTTTAGAACCATTCAGAAAGTTCGATTTTGAAATGTGCACCAGACGCTAAGATAATTTTTCACTGCCATAATCTATCTATATCTATAAAAGAAAAGGTCTGTCTGTCAAAGGTTGGAGGCTAGATACTTGGTGGGGCTAGCCTTACAGAACTTTGCAAGGTTATTTGTGATTGTATGAGGATTGTCATAGGCTGGCAAGTTCGACCCCCCACCCATGCTGCTTCCCCAAGAAAGATCGGCTCCTATTCTGAAACTCCTATGAAATTTGAAATAGGGAATTTAGTTTTCCAAAATATTTTCAGTTTTTTTTTTGCCTTCTAGCAATGAAATGTGAAGATATTTAAATTGTTAAAAACTATTCGGGCTACAATAATTACAATTTATCATATATTGTACAGTTCAGAAGTAAAGTAAATTTCTGTAACATGCAATTTCTATATTTCAATCCAATATCTTTCCCCATTCTTACAATACAAGTAAACACAAAAATTAATTGGATCCAATGCAAAACTTCTTGAAGTGCTGTTTGAAACCCAGTTGCCAAGTGTGTGGATTTAAAAAATATACTGGCAGAAGAATGATCAGAACTTCCTGATGACCCAAAAGAGGAAAGCATAGTTGATGAATTGTTTTTTACAGATCCAAAGTGACTAAGGCAAGAAAATGGTAGCATGATGTCAGTAAAAGGTATTTGAAAACATTATAAAGCAAAAAAAAGTAGATAATTGAGTGTAATGAAACAGCTCCAGCACTTTGTCACAGGCACCTGAAAGCTAAATCTGATCTGACAGGCATCTGCAACAATTTTCACCAACAACAACCATGGACCAGAATCCTGCTTCCTTGTAGAGGCGGGGGGAGGGGACATGCGTGCATGTGGGGATCAGAACTGAATTCACAACTTACGAAAACTGCCCTAAAAGCCAAGAGAGAATCTCAAAACAATCTCAAAACACTTCTTTACATCTGGCTGCCACTACACAATGCAAATGCCAGAACCCCCAGGAAAAGGTTCGAAGCTGAAAACACGTCGTTAAATAAGTATAAATAATAAAAAATTACCACATATCACTCAGGGCAAAGCCTGTTGAGTCAGATGAAGAGGAGAGAAGGTCCGGTCAAAACAAGAAACGCCGCCAAAGAGGTAGTTGCTACAAATGCCATAGTGACAAGCTCCAGCATAGGTGAACAATGGTAGCTGACTGGCTACCAAGCCACAAGCAGAAGGAGAGATGAGTTTTTGAAAGATCATAAGATTCAGGCAACAAAAAAGAAGTGCTGGAGAACCAGGACCCGGATTCATAAAGCAGTTACACAAGCACTTACGAACATATACATCTTTCCTCAATCTTTGATGGCTTTGATTAAATTTATTAAACAGTTTACAAGCATGAAAACTTCCCAATCAACTGTTGTTGTTATTATAAACAGCCTTCTGGTGCTTCAGAGCTCATTAACCGTTTAATAATTGTAAACAAAGCCGCCAGATATTGAGAAAAGATGTACAGGTTCGTAAGTGCTTTACGAATCCGGGTCCAGGGCACGACTGCTCACCTGAAAATGGCTCGGAAAGGAAAGCAAACTAAAAAACGTGAAGAATCCTGAACTGGATGAATAAAAACAGAGAGAAACTCTTAAGAGGGTAGCAGAGGCACAGTGCAGAGCAAAGCTCAATCCACAGGCCCCATAATCAAGAGAAGCCATTGTGGACAAGACAGATCCTGGAGAAGAAACTAGGGAAACAGGGTGTGCAAACCAGCTAGGCGACTGACCTGCACAAGGCTGAACTGAACTTCCCCAACCCAACAAGGAGGTAGGATGGGAAGAAAATCCAAGCCAGAAAGCCCTGCAACAAGAGGCCAAGAAAGCAGCACACTTAGGTCTGTACCATAAGCCAATGCATCAATTAGGTGTGTACCACTAGAGCCCCCCCACCCCCCCCCCCCCCCCCCCCACAAAGGAGGTGCCAGGAATGAAAGAAGTGAACTCAAAGTTGGAGCCATACAAGCAGCTATGAAAAACTAAGACGACACCCAAAACATGCTCGAACAATCTGTCCAAAACGATGGAATTGGACAAGGGCAGGGAAGACCACTAAACCATCATAAAGACCACAGCAAGGAGAACACAGTACCTGTGGCACAATGCAGTGCAGAAAACTGAGCCCTACCAAGTGCTAACTAGGATACCAGCAGCCACAAGTCCACCCAGATATGGATTGCCTGACTGGGAAACAAGAATATGAAAGAGAAAGCACTGCATTAAAGAAGGGCATAGTAGTAAACTGCTAGAGCTGTGAAAAGAACCTAAGGAGAGAAAAGGATCCAAGATGTTATGATCACAACATACACGATACTTGGGGTGTAACAAAGCGCATACAGACAGTCTTTTCAACATGAGGAACAACAGAACAAGGGGGGCACAGATGAATGTTGGAAACACAGATGGGCCAGAGATATATAAGAAAATACTCGCTTGCAGTAAGAGTGAAATACAAATAGAAAAAACTTAAGCCAGAGGTGGTGGAAGAAACTACCATTTATAGATTCAAGAGCAGTATGACAGGGCACTGGAACATTGGGAAGTTTGTTATGATGAGCAAGCACGACCAACTGATCTGTAACCCAAAACTAATAAAATGTACAGAGCAAATACTCACAGACAGAATCTTTCCTTTGATGTTCTGCCAAACAATCTGTGTGTGTAAGGGTACCTCATGACCAAAATTCAGAAGTCTTATATTGTTCTCCAGAGATCCAAGAGCTAGTCTGAGAAGGGACAAGAAAACAAAAAACAAAAACAAAAAAGTTATCAGAGTATTAACATTACTAAAGGCATTACATAAATAGCAGTGTATAAACACTACAAATAACATTACTGTGCTCAATGGTTGTAAAGTACTTCAGGCAAGCTATCCAATATAATTCAAAGAGTAATTAAGATTTAAGTACTTTATTCATAGATGATTGTACATTTATAATAAATTTATTGTAAACTAAATCAAAATATTTTATTCATTTTTGTAAGTCGTCATAATAGCAAAATAAGTATTCATTATAATTATATACTATTAAACAAAATTAGAAAGTAGCATAATAAAATGTACTTGCTACATGTAAGTGTTACAGTTCTCTCAGCATTTATGCTTACATTATAAACGCCAAGAGACATAACACAGTCGAATCTAATCGTCTACTTTTTTATAGGGAGATATAGCAGACTCTGAAGCTTTGTTTTAAGATATCAATTTAATAACATACTGTATTACTAACAATAAGAAAACTAGAGATACTGTTGAACCATAGATGATGGTGTGGTTTCAAGTTAGAGAAAAGGAGAGGAGAGAAATGAATGCATAGCTCAGTAAGAATGTTTTCTTCTCAATGCTATTGAGAAGAAGAAGGGATGCATGGAAAAAAAATCAGCAAGATGTTTTGGATAAAGCAGAGTTGGTGGAAGACAACCAATATTTACTCACATCTTTACTGAATTCAAACTAATACAATCAGTATTCATTGTTTTGTGTCCTATTGTGTTGATATATTACACTTTACATCATATTAATATCCCCTTTAATATACTCATTCATTCCTTTGTAAAGTTCAATATATATCACCCACTACAAGTCCCCATCTAAAGAATGTAAATTAAGCATCCTTCATCTATTTTCATAAGGAAGGTTTCTAATTCCTTCACTGTCACATTAAACTGAATTTATGTGAATGTCCATTTTGTAACATGAACAAACCTGAACTGCATAATGTATGTGGGAGCCAAGCTAAGAGCAAACTAAGGGCAAGCTAAGGCTGAAGAACAGCATTAGATAACTGGAATTATCAGAAGTAAGAATCCCAGTACCTGAACTGTCTTATGTTGAACAAATATACATTGAACTTTTGGCTTAAGATTCCTACTTCTCACAACTAAAGGTATAAAACGAGTGGCACCAGCATCAGGTATATGACAGTACTGACAGCATTGGTAGCAAGTAATTATCTATGTAGTGTTAGGCCAGTATGACTGTACAGACAATGACAGTCAGGTTAGAGAGAAACAACACAAAATATTTCAAATTTGCCCATAATAAGCACATCAAAGCCCTAAACTGTAACCAGGAAAAGGCATAAAGAAAACTTGACACATGAGCAACACATACTCAAAATATTACTCCAGTAAATCTTAACAGTGGAAAGTTCGAAGTGTAGGAGGCTTAGATGAGCTCCCAAACATGGCTTAATTTCAGTACAACGGAAAAGCAAGCAGCCCCCCCCCCCCACCACCACTACCACTTTGTAGATTATGCTACTCCACATCAAAAGATGTCCAATGGACCAATCCCCTACCCATAAGGAGCAACCAACCACTAACAACAACCAAACCTAGTGTCAGACTATTGCCAGAAGCAGAACCCTCCTCCCCCAACCTAGCTAAAATCTGAAGATAAGCCTAACTTTGATCCAAAGAGACAAGTTTCCTCTGAAAAAGCCATCCCATGTAAAACGACAAATCCAGCCTCGCAACCTTGAGAAGAGGAAACTGAACGCTGCCTTCCACCAACCCGAAGGTAGGAGGAACTGAAACACTCGCAATCATGTTCAGGAAATAAGACATTGTGCACCAGCCATGATGAAACTACCCTCAGGAAGATGCCATCAAGCCAAACTTTAATTCCTGGCAGGAAGGATAAATGCAACAGCTCAGAGATACTATTAGCAAATATGAAAAACACCTTTCTAAGAAATGTTATTCAGTTGCCCACAATCTCTGCCTTTCTTTTGTTCACAATGTGTAAATTTGTTTCAAGAACAATGTAATATGCTGAGGGTTCAGAATCATACTATTGTAATGATCCTGACATCTGTTGGTGGCCAGTGACACGAGATTGGCAAGTTGGCTGTTAAGTGGAGACCTGCTATGGTGAGCATATTATCACAAATCTTACACAGTTTTGATTTTTTAGGAATTCACCTTTGTCGATCATTACAAGCTCAATAAAAATTATCTCCAGTGGTACTAGCACTTTAATGACGTTGTAGAGATTGTCTGAAAAGCTACCCATAGCATTAGTGCTGAGAATGTTAACTTCCTGATAATTTTTATCCTTGTTCACAAAGCAACAGATCTTGCTTTTTGGGGCAATTGAATGGTACTGTTCAGGAAGATACATTTCGGCTATTTTAAGCCATATTTTACCCTAACATGACTGGGCAGGATAATAGGTTAATGAGTTTACCAAGGTTAAAAAAGCCTGCCCTACAGGCCTCATGCACAATTCTCTCATGTTTAATCTCTTAATAGCAGCTGGCTCTTCTTGGCAATACTTAATCCTAATTGTTTTTATCCACTTCATTAATCAGAAACCTCAAACATCATAATTCACATCACATTAAAATTATAAAGTGTCACCACAATTCTGCTCCTAAGTCTTCAGCCAAGTACTGTAATTAGATTTTAAAAGTGTGAAAAGTTTTTAGATGTGCACTTTGAACACTGGAAGCTATTGAAGCTATTTTTGAGGAAGGTTTTAATGCTTTCATGGGTAGTCATGTATTAAGTACCTTCATTCATAAACTTGAGCAAGCAGAACTACTCCCAACAACTGCTTACCAGCACATAAATTTTAATGAAATGTGGTCTTTTTTTTTAACAATTACAAAAGGACCCCCAATCAGATTTCAATCATACCCCCAGGCTCAACTTATAGCTTCAGACACGAGCTCTAACTGTCTGGAATATAACTCAGAGCATCAAAACAGTAATCACATTGTTGCAGCAAATGAGCTAATCACATTAGTTTAATTGTAGTATTACCTTCTCAAGACTGCATTAAGCTACCTTGCCACTGATAAGTATGTTATGGAATTTCCCACAACTGATATCAGTATGTATCACAAATGATAACAATATATCATGTTAATGTGATTTCATTGTGCAGTCCCACAACTGAATAAATAATCTTCATACTGAACAAAGCTTCAAAAATTCAAGTTCAATGCATTCAAGTACTTTCATAATTCACATACTAACATCCAACAGGAAAACCAATATAACAATTATCAATTATTTAACAAAATAACCTTAGCATTTCTAAGTTTCCTGTACAGTGTTACTGAATTGTCATCTTTTACCTTTCCCAAGAGTGATCACTTGAAATATAACAAGTTTCTATGTATCATTTGCAACATAATATACAGTATTTTAAAACTCATTGTAATAGCCCACATAACGTATTTATAACAACAAATGAGTTTCTTTGTTTTCAGACCAACCTGTTGGCATCGTGTGGGCAGAAAGAAAAGGTGGTAGCACTAGCACCAAGCGTAGTCAATTGAAACATGTGAGAAGAGTTCCCAATATGAAAGCCATGGAGGAACCGATCTTGTCCACTGGTCACAACTACGTCCCCCATCACCATCACATTGTAGAGGACTCGGTTGTGAAGATGGTGTAATACCTAGTGAAAAAATTACAATTTAAACTACTAAATTTAAAAACACAGAACTTTTCACATAAAAGAACCAAAACTGAAAAAACATTTAAAAACAGATGTAAAGATATGACATAGAAGACACTAACATTCTTTAATTAATGGTTTCACCAGTAAGATATGGCAATGTTCATAAATCTGCAAGTGTTAATGCCTTTACCTGCCTTCAGATTGATCAAATAAAATTTGGATCGATCTCATGAGGGCAATCAAGAACAAGTTTATCACAGGATATGAAATGGATTATGTAAGGAAGATGAGTGCAATGATACTAGTGGTGGCAGGTTTTAAAAATTGTTCAGCTCTTACAAGCTTGGTCCAAGATCAAGTTGGTTCACTAATGGTTTGATCAGTAAGGCTTTTGGTAGCAGTGGCCCACAAGCTCACGTAGCCATCATAATCAACATGTTCAGCCACTCCATTTTGACCCATACTGTCTTGGGGGTCTGTATGGGGCTAAAAATTAAACATTTGCTTTCACAATTTTATTGCATCTAGAGTTAGAAATTTACTTGTTATTTAAAGTGGACCAGGTCAAGGAAAAGCAGGTGCAAGTTGCAGTGACATGCACTCTACTTGGTGGTACCGAGTCTGCCACTAAGAAAACTAGAAATAGCCTCTAATGATGGACTTGGAGTTCAAATTCAAAAATTAAGTAGACAGGCTTTAAGGACAATGGGAGCTACAAAAGTAGCATAGCTCCATCACTACACTATTTTTTACATCCATTTCCACTTGTCAAGATACTTCTTATTAAGATGCTTTCCCCATTAAGATTTTCTTCCACACACACACACACACACACACACACACACACACACACACACACACACACACACGACACAGGTAATTACACACACACAAAAATTACATTTGCAGTAAGTTAATGCCAGTGAATCTACACCCAATGAAAGCATCTCTAACAAAATCAAATAGTGAGGCTTACTTTGAACTTGGCGCCTCCAGGTTGCAGTGTCCACTGAAGAAGCTCTCCTCTAACAGATGAAGATATGAGGCTTCCATTATGCCATGCCAAAGCAATGTGTTGCTTTCCAGTGATCTTGTCCTTACTCTGTGTAGGATAGTAATAGCAAACAAACAAATCACATTTTGTAAAATGAAAATAAAGGATTATGTAATGCACAGCATTAGTAAATCATTGTCATCAATGTACTGTAATTTACATCTAAGCCTGGCTTACTCTCATGCTGGTAGTTATAAATTTACAGTCACAATTTCAAAGTCTGCTTCAAACCAAATTAAACTTTTTCACATCAAATCATGGTACGTTAGTGTCATAAGAATGTACAGATTTTAGAAATAACACTGTACAGTACTGTACTTTAACAATTATATTCCTGTATATTCAATTAGCCTTTACAATAAGTTCAACACATTGTATTTTATAAAACATAGTTCAAATGCATCAACTGATTTAAGGTTGCTGTCTATACTATCTTTGACTCTTAACAAAAGGGGTGGCTTAAATGACTGTTGTTAACAGCCGTTTCTATAGGATAATTCAGAGGGAATGCAGGTCAGATACTAATATAATAGGAAATGCTTATAACAATTAATTAATTACATGGAAAACAAATACTGTATACAGTAATGACAAGTCTTTTATTATGATATTATACAAATAATTTGGCAATAAATCAATGTATCGATACTTGAATTGAAAACATAGCTTATGATAATTATTTGAAAAATCTTCTATGCTAGACTTTGTGCTTATAATGGAACAGATAATGATTGAATAATAATAAAAAGCTAAATACTGTATACCATAGTATTGTACTTAAACTCTTACAGGATATAAGCATGTTAACATTCAACATCATCTGTAAAGATAAAATGCTCAATGAGGAAACAATACTTACTGATGTCTGTTTTTTAAAGCCAGATGCCGAGAGGGGAACATTAGCTTTGGTTATGTATCTTTTGGCCGACAGATCCCACAGTAAGAAGTTGCGGCCATAATCAGAAGATACAAAGAATGGGCCCTCAAAAGTTCCCACGGCTTTGTTGTTCTGCTGTTTACCATTCTCTGAATCTATATTGAAAACCAAAATCAATAAAGTGTTTGTGATATATTACTGATATTAGACAGTCACCTAATGTGATCTTGACTTAATGTTTTTTTTTAGAAAAAAAAATGCCTATTGAAAATAACAAAATGGACAACTTTAACGTTTACCCATCCCAGCAAGCCAGAAGAGCATGAGGAAACCACTGGCACCAACTTGATCACAGACCAGAAGGAAGGCCAGGCACTGAAGAGCAAACCATGCAACTCTCCCCAATTCCTAACATGGGAATACTTTAATTATAATATTGACATGGGGGTGGAGGAGGTTTAAAGTGATCACTTATATTTAGGCCATGTCACAGAAGTGGAAAGCCATAATTTTTGCACAAAATATAGCCCAAATTCACCCTCCAGTTAAAAACTAAAGACATTCTTCTTGGGCATATAACATACTCATCTTAATTATTATTTTAGAGTTTCTGTATTTCAAGCTTATTCTCCATCTATATCTATAAACAAGATTCTGTTGCTACTATCATGACTTGTTTTTGTCACAGAAACAAAGGTCCACTGCTAAAGAGTTGTGGCCCAATGCTATGTACCCTAAAGGATGATCAAGACTTATAAGTACCTGGCAACATTTAATACATACAAAAAAAAATTCAAATAGAACTTTAATTAATTGTGTAAATAAAACAAAATCTTTAATGAGTAAAGAAAAAAGAAAAACCTTCAATTATTTGTCTTCACATACAGAATTGGTAGGAACTAAAAGTTATTTTGAGTACTTACTTTTATCCTTATTTTTCCCACTTTCACCATTGACTTTGGCATAGCTATCCTTTAGAGCTTCTGCCCTGTGATTGATAGGTCCAGAATCCTGTGAGAATGGGTTACCGTCACCAAGGTACCATCTTATGCAGTACACTCCATAATCATGGCCGTGCAGGTGCGTAAGAACTCCTCCATCTAAAACAAATATTTAGTCAGCCAACATTTTACATATACATTGGTTTGAAGATAAAGTGTAATCTTATAACACTTGTCCCATTAAGAAATGTAGTTTAAACAATAATCAATTTTGGTAAAGTATACATAGGTACATATTGAGAGATCAATTGAGTAAAATTTGCAAATTTATGGTTAAATGTTCTTAAAGAAAGACGTGAAGCCAGTTGAACCCTTGATGTAATATGGAAGGTATACAAGGAATGCATGGTTAGTAATACTAAGCTATTATATAGTGGAGCATAAACTGGCTTAACGAGATGAAATAGTGGTAAGAGTAATTGGTTAGGAAAGAAGCGGATTTTGTACACGAGGGAGTATGATAAAATAAAGGCATGAAAAGGCTATTTGAGCAGAAAAATCTGAGTGAATATGAAGGTCAGAAGCAAGTTTAGTAGAAAACAAAATTCTGAAAAGATGATTACATCCCCAAAATCTGCTAAACCTACAAGTACAGTACCTGCAAATCTGGGGTACCATGGTATTAATTCTGATTCAGTAAAACCAAATGGCTGTGTTTTACTAGTTGGTCCTTTGGGGCAGAAAACTTGACAATAATTTGCTAGACACAACACCAACATTCTCAAAATAAACGTCATCAAAGATGAGATAGTAGAGTAAGTGAAAAAAGGAAGATGTGGGTATAGTTAAGATATGGAAAGGTGTGTATATACTGTATGAAGAAGCTCACAATGATGTAAATGGATAGGATTGCCAAAACACTCAACCCCTAGTAACCTGGTAGACAATGAAAGTGTATATACATCAGATCAATAAATACTCTGAAGACAAAATAAATTCATCAGGACATAATGAAAATACTTTAATTTCTTATATGCACATGTAAATGCTATGCAATATTACCTTTTAGAGAGACAAGTGCAATATCCTTTTCAGCAGCAACAAGAGCCTGTGAAGGATTCTTCGGATTAATCTCCACCAAGGTGAGTTCAGAAAACTCACGAATAGTATGGATACGTGTTGCACCGTGTCTTGCCTGCCACACTACCATACGCCCACCACTGCTCACTGTCACTACGACTTCTTCTCCTCCAATGCTGCCCCAGCAAATGCCATTAACATTAAGACCCTAGAAAATTTGATAGAAATAATAAACATTCATAATTTTTAAAAAATATTATGTTTAAGACGATACGTATCAATAAAATAAAGGTGGAAAGAAGAGCTGGTGTCTAAAGACAACCCAAGAACTGCCTCCGTACACAGGGCAGAAAGAAGAGCCAGGAAGATTGCTTCCGACTTCCCAGGGGTGGAATGCACTTCCTCAGATAGGTTATTCATATACAGTACATATAAACTAAGAACATTGGGCTTGCTACATTCCCCCAGCATGTCATATCCTTTCTTGTGACAAAATTGTATTTGATTAAAGGTCTTTCCAGTTCAGTGTCTTTTCAGATATCCCAACATAAATCTCTATCTTATACGCTAGTATTATATTAGGAATATTATCAAATATTTTCTGACAGCGTTGGAAAATTAGTATACCCATGTTTTCTTTCTTTTGTAGATCTCCGAGTGACCCTGTTACATTAAACTAAAAAAGAATTGCAAATTTCATCTCTTTTGCATTTTCCAACGGTATTTCCTGCATATAGACTCCTGTCTTTTTTTAATTTCCTCTTCTGTTGCCTTGTGACCTCATCAACCAATTTCTTGGTTTGATCACATCCCTTGGCTTAATAATGCATTTAAACACTGCAACATGATACAGAAGTTGTTTGCTTTCAGGGGTACCTAATTTTGGGTAGCTGTAGAGGAAGGGTAGTTAAGGAGGTGCTGAATTAGGAAGGACGATGGCAGGGGTAAGGAGGTGGAATGAAAGACGGGAAGGAGAGGATGACTTAGGAGTATCAGATTATATGACTGTACAGTAAGGATAGGTTAAAAGGAGATCGTGACCATATTGTGATAACTTTCAACCTCTGTAATTATGAATAATTTGAAACTTAATAAATATTAGTGTTACAATTACAAAAATTTACCTACTCTGTATCATGGTTTACAGTACATTCAAAACTTAAACAAAGATTGAATTTTCTTGGTTGGACAAAACAATTTGATATACAGTATCACCAATCAAGACTACTGGGATTTACCCCCTTGCATCAGGGAGGGGGTGTAGAAATTTTGGCACAGCTACAATTATTTGTTTTTGAGATACCACTGGATCCATTCTATAGTGAAATATATTCCTAAATGATAATAAAACAGCTATGTTTATATAAGACATGCTTGAGTATGTATGTTCATTTATAGCAGATTTAAATGAATATAGAAATATTTGTGGCTTGCACATTCACTTTATAAGTAAAAGGATCTAGGTCTGAATCATAGGTAGGGCAAGTGGATTTTGATAACATTACTTCACTCCCCTGTGTTTCCAACAGTAATCCAGGAGCTTTGATATAAATCAACTGGCAAATTGTTTTCTTAATAAAGCTTGGATGGAAAGGCTTTTAAATGAGCTGTACTAGGAGAACTCTTAGCCTTCAAGCATGGAAAACAATTCCAGCTCTTTTACCCTCCTACCTAATAATAAGAGGGACTGTAAATATTCCTAACACAGTATTAGATATGTCTTACCTGGTGTTCCTGATGCTGTGCAATAACATCACCAGTGTGTAAATTATATAATCTAACAACCGACGTATCACTAGTGCTTGCAACTGTGTGTCCATAATCTGGCTCGGACACTTTGCGATGTAATCGAACAGACAAAACTCTTTCACTGCTGTGAGGTATTACCTGGAATAAGTCAAATGTTCATTATATACATAAAAGATAAATTTATTGAGGCCCAAGCCATTAACAATTATAGCTAAATACAGTACCGTATTTATTTGTAAATTATCCGGTGAAATTTATATCACAAATAAATGATCCTAGGGAAACTTGGTCAGCAGTAAAGCAAATATTTTCACTAACTGAACTTACCAAAACTACATGAAAGGGATGTAAGCTGGTCTATTTATCAATAGCCCAGATGTCTTACCACCTTCCAGGAGTTTCCCATTACAGGATGGCCACAGCAAAAGTTTCTTCAGGAGGCTTTATCACCTCAAAAACCTTTCAACCTTTAAAGCTCTAACACAGCTCCCCAATTTTTTCTTACATATATTTTTCCACTCTTCCCTGCCAAGATACTGGTCATCTGCTTCAACCACATCCTTTATTTCACCCGTGTACACTTATTGTTAACAAATTTTCAGGCATTTTACCAACATGTCCATACTACCTCTGAATATTATTCTTCATTAACTCCACACCGCCACATTTCATTCCCTCACCCCTCTTTCATTTCATTCCATATCCCTCAATGACTTTAAATTGTTATACCCATCTCACATACTTACTCCAGCTGCTTTTCACAACATAAATAATTTTTACAGCTTGTGCTATTGAGCACACTGTCCCTTTCCATGCCAAAGTTTCACTTCCATATGTCAGAGCTGGGAGCAACATTGTTTCTCAGTCTTTTCTTTAGTCCCATACTAACCTTTCTACCTTTCATTTTATTATTCACCTCTACTACCACTCTTTTTCCATTACTTTCTTATTACACTTTCCATAATCTCCATTAAGATGAGAGGTCAAATTTCCAAGTTTAAAAGGATTAAAACTAAGATCTACAATTGACAATCGTTGCCTATCGTCACTGGCATTACACAGTTTTTTTATGTTGGACTTTCAAGCAATTATTATATGAAATTGTAATCATTGATCAATTTATTCTAGGTTGAGTTTAAGTGCTTATTATTTTCATTGATAAACACACTATATTTGTTTTGCAGTATGTGTAAGTGAATTTATTTATTTTTTAGTCTCTTGCAGTTTGTACGGTACTCAGTAGGTTTTGTCTGGCAAGTCAGGTTGTCTAAGCACTACCCAATAAGCATTTATAATCACTTATGACTACAGTACATCTATTTCAGTCAAATTTACTGATTATTTTCATTTTCTGAGCATGGAACACCTCAGAAAATACATTTTTCTACTGCCTGCAAAAATATTATATATTTATGTAAAATAGCACATCCTATATTACATGTGAACAATATCAATTTCTAATAAAGCAAATCCAAAAATCTTATTTATATTCAAATGTTGTAATTTAACGGTCAAAAAGCAAGTTTAATTTTACCTTATTAAATTTACGTTTAATTAAACATCATGGATTTCTAACATTGTTCAATATCAAGAATTTTCTAGCCCAAAAACTAACCATCTAATGAAAACCATTATGAATTTTTTGCAATGTGTACACACCTTGAGCACTCTTGGTAGTCTCTTTTCCCCAGTTACCTCATACACTACAATAGCCTTAAAAGATGCAGCAACCAACAGATTATCTTCATCCCGACTGTCAATAGCATCACTGAGGAACCAGTTTGGAGATGGTGGAAGCAGAATTTCTCCGATCTATCAAAACACAGAAAAATTATATATTCTCCCATCACTGCTAAGAATGCAAATGTATAAATATAAACGGAACAGAACATTTAAACAGTTTTCAATTTGTTGAATAAACATGCATTATAGTCCTATATATCAGAAAACATTTTCTTTTGAATACAGAATTTCGTTACTCATTAACCACAGCACTGCGCACCTAGTTTCAGCAAAAACCTCATAGTGCAATTCTTAAGAACGTTTTTTTTTTTTTATAAATGTTCAGGTAAAGTTAATGTCAAAATATTTCCAAACTCAACCATTTTAATTTGAAAACAGTGATAAAACATTAAAAAAACATTAAGATATAGCCAAATAAAAAAACTAACAACTCTCGAAGCGCCTTAAGGTGCTCTGCACAATGCGGTAGTTAAGGAAAATAAGTAACAATAATTAGAATACTGATTTCCACTTTCATGGAGTGAGGCAGCACCAGTCTGCAAGGAAGAGAAAGTTAAATACTGTATATGTATTAAAATAGGCACATTGTTAAGTTACAGTACCACACCTTCTACAACACTGTACTGCACATACTAACACCTTCAGTAAAACACTAATGATGGGAGAACACTAAAATTATAAGGAACAGATAGGGAGTAGTACACAAGCCAGCCAATGGAGTACAAGCTGATGATTATGGTGGTGATGTGACATTACATGTTACTGGCATACGAGTTAATTTTGTGATTTAAGATAAAAGTAACTCAAATATGATGACACAAGATTGACAAAATAACAGCCAACACAATTGTACAGTATGTTAATACAGTAGTATTCACAAAACCAAGTAACAAATATTTTTTAGAATGAGCCATTGGCAATTAGATACATAGTTACATAATAGTAACTGTCGTTGCCACTATATCTAGCCTGTTAAAAAAAAATTTTTAACTGGCAAGAAAGGTCAGGATACATACAAATAGATATGGTAAAGTGTTACTACATTTATAGTAAGTCACTAAGTATTACTGTATCCAAGAATTTTATACTATATTAGTAATTTTCTGTGCATAATAATGCACTGTCATGATATTTGGATTTTTGAAGGCCCAAAGGCAATTTTATACTATACACAGTGCATATTAAAAATTCTGTAATAATTCTGTGCATGAAAATGTTAGTATAATAATATAAAATACTGTACTGTACAGTATTTAAATTAAGAAAGCCAACTAATAATACATCAAAATACAGTAACTGTACAATATACAACACACATTACCTGTAAATACTTATCAACTACAAATTAGAGTCGTACCTAATTTGTTTACAAATTCACATACCTCATGCATGATAAAATCCTCATAGTCATAATGGCACTGACACTTTGGGAGGGAGCCAAAACTAAAAAAGTCGTCTCTCTCCCAATATCGATCAAACTCCTGATAGTCATCCATCATTGCTTTTTTTCAGACAAATTGAGCAGGAAAGTAGCAGTTTGCTGTATTAAATTGGATAAAAGCAAGTTTAACAATTTCCAATTATATTTCAGATAAAGAATTGTATTCAAGCAATTACCATATAGGATTTCTTTAATGATAATTAAACTTGATAATTCCTACATTACAAACACTAATTCAAATAGACAATTAAATGGTTTTGATAAGTTTGAAATTAATATACTGTCTGCTCAATGTGCAGGGGTTGATGCTCAGTTGTCCAATTGCCTTGGATGACTGAGTGTGGATGGGTAGGTTGGTGGGTGCTGATGGCAGCAGCTTTTTGCAAGGCAGAAGATCTTGATCAGCACTATAAGGGACTTTCCTCCTCCCACTCCCACTCAACTGCTGCTCTGCCTCTGCCCTTTTTCACAACAAAGTATATACTATATGTGGCCATGTAATTTGCAGTTGCATATTTCTTCTTTAGTTACTGTTCTAAAACAGAATAAAATTATCTCATTCACCCACTTCCTGAACTGCTAGATTTAAGATCCCTCACTCACTTTTCCTCACTTTTACTTTCTTCCCCTCACTCTCACCCTCACTTTCTCTTCACTCTCACCCTCACTTTCTCTTCACTCTCACCCTCCCTCCAACTACCACATACACCCTCACCCCCCCCCACTACCACATGCACCCTCACCCCCCACTACCACATGCACCCTCACCCCCCACTACCACATGCACCCTCCCCCCCACTACCACATGCACCCTCACCCCCCACTACCACATGCACCCTCCCCCCCACTACCACATGCACCCTCACCCCCCACTACCACATGCACCTGTAAAATGTATGTACAGGTACTATATGTATGCACTGTACCAGTATATATGTGTTACAGAGGGTCCCAGTAGTACAGTCTGGTTCGTTCTCAACCCTCAATAGAGAATTCCGGGTTTGAATCCCAGGAGGCACAGAAATGGCTGGGTGCATTTCCTTTTCCCTCATGCCCCTATCCACCAAGCAGTAAATAGGTACCGAGGCATTAGTTAGTGCATTGTGGGGTTGCATCCTGGGCGGGAACAGTTCAATAGTTTGACTCTTGGGGGGGGGGGGGCTCAGTATAAGCCTAACATCTACTTTATGTATAACCTGGCTTCCTGTCCCCCCCAACACAATCAAGAATTCCGGGTTCGAATTGCAGGCGGGACAGAAATTGTTGAGAGCATTTCCTATCACCTAATGCCTCTGTTCACCTAGCAGTAAGTACTCAAGAGAGTTAGTCGGCTTGTTGTGGGGTTGCATCCTGAGCAGGGTCAGTAATTCGACCATGGGGAAAGTGGACCTCAATATAAGTCTAACATGTATTAATACACTCTGGCTGCCTGTCCCCCGACACAATGAATTATTATATACTATATGTATGTATAGTACAGTATACTGTATGTAAAGTATGTCCCTTACCAAATTTTGTACATGTGTACATCCATTACCAAATTTTGAAAGGCTTTCTTACTAGAAGTGACAGAACACCTCTCTTTCTCTTGGCATTCTTAAATACAGTATTGTAATACATAAGCAATCATTTCTTACTTAATACATATATATATATATATACATTTAATTAATTCTTTTTACTTACCTTAAAGATCATCAATATTATGGCTAACAGTACAGTTAAGTGTACAGTCCCTGGTGGCATTGTGGTAACACACTCGCCCCACAAGTAAATTGGTCAGGGTTTGAGTCTTGGCCAGAGAGGACTGACTGGGTGCCAATCCTTAATTGTTCACTCCTTTACACCCAGCAGTAATTGGGTACCTGGTTGTTAACCAATTGCATGTCCTGTTTGAGGGCAAGGTTTACCACAAGCTATGGGAAGGGAAAGTTCTTGGCCTGTTAACAGGAGTGAGAAGTTGTCTACTCCTATAACTACCGGATGTAAAAATGTATTGTACTCCTACTTGAACAGGAGATACATACTGTAAATTTCCCTCATAACTGAAAATCTGTTGTACGTGTACGTATTCCAATTTTGTCATTTTTCACTTTAATGCAAATTTTGTACAGTACAGTATTTTTTACGATAGGTCATACCTTTGCATACATTGATAAAAAATTTTGCTTTTAAATTTTGTTTTTATACATTTTGTAGATTTTTGTTTACATATTACAGTAGTACTAAAGTCATAGTCCAGTGAGAGCATGGCCTCACTACAGAAGACACCCATTATTTTCAGTTGCAACTGAATGTAATGAGTGTTTTAACAGAATGGATTCTTGTTGCATCTGGTTTGGACACTTAAGAGTTTCATTCAGGCAGGAATTCACTTGCTTGTAAACTGCTTGATCAAACTCATTAGTATCCAAGCCCCAAAATATATTTCTCTATCTTTGCCTCCATAACTATTTCCCCCCATTTTTTTTTTAAGCAAGTTCAAACACCAAACGTGTCAGTCAGCATTATTACAATCTAGCCATAATACATAACGTGTCAATATTAATGCTATAACCTATTTATCCATGTTAATTCTTCATCTTACCTGGTTTTGCTATTTCAGTGCTTTTTTCAAGTGTATAGGGAGGAGGCCTGGTCGACGACCGGGCTGCAAGGATGCTAAGTCCCGGAAGCACCTCAAGGTATACCATGCATGGTGGAGTTTTCTTAAGAGCTATTTTTGTTTATTACTATTAATCAATGCTAAAATGTGAGCATAAGTTTACTGCAGATACTTTCCATAGTAGAATGAAAGAATGGGAAGCCAAGTGCTTAAAATGTAGCTCAGACACTTGTGAAAAATAAAAGTTAAAAACATACACTGTAAAGAAACCAGCCTATGTGTGGGTACACAAGGAATTAAACTAAAGAATTGCTGATTAAATGTAAGAACTTGCTAGGCTAGGCCTAAATATATGGGGATCAGTAAATTTTAAATACCTAAACCTCATTTCTGAGGCATTGTTGCTTTTTCAAAGATACTTAGCCAAGTATAAAGATATACAGTACTTGTTATATAGATAAAAAGGGTCCCAGTAATACTGTCGAGCTCATTCTCAAATCACAATTGAGAATTCCAGGTTCGAATTCCATGCAGCACAGAAATAGTTGGGCATTTCCTTTCACCTCATGCTCCTGTCCACCTAGCAATAAATAGGTACCCAGGAGTTAGTCAACTTGTTGACCCACGATGCAACAGGGGCTGCATCCTGGGCACCCTGGGGGAAGGGGGGGGAAGCAGAGGACCTCAATATAAGCCTATCATATATTGTATGCATAAACTGGCTGCCTGTCCCCCAACACAGTGAATAATATAATGCACCACACAATGCATTTTTTTTGTGCGTGTATAAATACTGGTGCAAAGACCCAAATATTTTCTTAATATTCATATATTACATATTACCAGAATTTTATGGTAACCCTACGTAACACTTGTTTATTAATCTGCATGTAAACAAATTCTGAAAATAATCTTGTGAAGTGTAATGAACGTGTCACTGTGAATGATGTGCTCGTCACTTCATTGGTAACTACTTAGGTGACCACGGAATAAACGTGAGACATACATAGTACTGTATTACAGACTCTAATGACCCTGCTTGCATGAACCCCATGCACTTCAACTCTTAGCAAACCCACATGCAACTCCCGCTAGCGGGAGTCTATGTATACTCTATGTGTTGCTACGCAAACTCTAGGTCTTATCCACTAGTGAACCGGTGTTAAGATACTAGAAATATTTATGTCAGCCAGTGTTAACCAGCAACACAATTACCATGATGCCCTGGGCAGCCACAACGTGTCCCTGTGTCAGCAACAACACGGCCAAACATCTGCTGCTGATGCTGCCCGCTGATCCGCTACACTCGCTAACAGATCCGCTACACTTGCTAACAGATTTATTTATTTATTTATTTATTTATTTATTTATTTATATATATACAAGAAGGCACATTGGGTTTGTGAGAATACATTGGATAGTACAGTATTTACATTCTTGTAAAGCCACTAGTACGCGCAGCGTTTCGGGCAGGTCCTTAATCTAGCAGATAATTTTAAGTAGGTAATTTCAATCAGAATTGATAAATGATAAAGATACATTACAAGATAAAAATGAGATGAGAGAGATAAGTAAGTATATTAAAGCACATTGTTATATTAAAGCTCTGATTGATTACATTGACAGCTTGATTAGTAATTTAAACAAGATTAATAGACACCATACAGCAGATTGACAGCACATATAAGACAGCAATGATCACAATGGTAAAGATGTTCAGAATGGGTACATAAAAATTGGGAGACTGGGTAACAAAAGATACAGATAAACAAGATTTATAAACACCATACAACAGATTGGCAGCACATATAAGAAAACAGCAATGATCACAATGGTAAAGATGTTCAAATTGGGAACATAAAGGTTAGGAGATTGGGTAGCAATTGATACAGTGCAATTTTAAGGCAAAAAGTGAAAAACTATGAAGATGAAATTAGGTACTTTTTAGTATTGATTTTGAATGATGTAAAAGTTCAGCTACAGATCAGCTACACTCGCTACCAAATCCCTTACACTCGCCAACAGATCCGCTACACTCGACACCAAACATGCTACATTCGACATCAGGTCCGCTACACTTGACAATGAGTCCACTAAACTCAATTCTCGACAAGACACATCTTTTCTTTTGTTAACTATTTCAGAATAGCTATATCTATATATACACTTGAGAGGTATACCTCTCCTCCTCCTATATATAAACTGAAGGCATATATACACGCCTAGTTTTATATAAATTAAATGTTCTTTTACAGCAAGTAAGCTTGGAGGTAGAGTAAGCTTACAGACAGCATGTCTACTATAATACAAAGTTTGCACAGTGGGCAAACTTTTGATACTCTGCTAGGATTTGGGGAATGTCATCCCGGATAAAATATATGAACATTTCTGATCGGGGAGAAAAAAACAAGCCAGGAGTGGGGGGACCTTAATTTATTAAATAATGTTTACAGAGCAACTGCTGTACCACAATATAAAAGATGTCGTG